ATCTCAGAGAGAGACTCCAAATATTTATGATATAGCAGAGGGTTTACCGTATCATAAAAGTGTAGAAAAATATCTAGGAGAAACATAAGGTCTAGTTGCATGTTTCATAAAGTTCAACTGGGCTATCATTGAGATGCATGGATCCAGCAAAACAACCTCCAGATATTTTTTAACAAATATGTGCAAATGCTTGCAAATGTGAACAAAGTATGTCCACTTTCAGTTTCAGTGAGTAACTTAAGACTCACAGATGGGAATTGTGCTTAAAATTATATTTCCAGGACCAAACAGTGCATGCAAAGCAGCAAAAGAATAGTTTAGATAAGTGTATATATATATATATATATAAACACACACACAATGAACTAACTGACTATTATGATTTTTGCCTCAATAAACTCCTAATTTTTGCTAATTAATATACTGCTTATGGGCATTAATATATGTCCTTTATAAGTAGGCTACCAATAAACCCCCAATAATCTTGTTATATGAATGCTAATAAGCAAATAAATGATAGTGAGAATTTGTAATTTTACATATGTCTTTTCAATGTCTCCCTTTGACTAGCTACTGGAGCCAATATTTTTATATTTAGATATTTGTATTTCTCAAAAAATGTTCACCTACGACTATATATATATATATATATATATATATATATATATATATATATATATATATATATATATATATATAAGATAAAGTTATTAGCAGAAGCTTAATAACCAGGCTCTGAGGAAAATCAGTACAGTGTGCCATAATAAATATTAACGCTGAAAAGTGCGTACGGATGAAATTTGAACACGCCCAAGTCTCCGCACAAGAGCAACTGAACATTCCCACGCGTTTCAATGTCCAAACACTGCATACATCAAGTTAAACTTTCACTCTAGTACACTAACATAATGAATTATATTATTATATACAATGAATTATCACAACAGTTAACGCGATGAGGTGCGTGTGAGTGACCCCATTAATGTACCTGATCCTGCGCGTGAATCTGGGGCGAGGACACATCTCCAAACACTGTGCCAACCGCACTGAGATCTCTGATAAGATCTTACACAGCATTATATTAGAATGCTTCAAAATCAATATTTATATGTACAAAAATATCGTTAAAAACAGAACAGCCATAAAATAGAAGAAATGGCATTAAGCGTGTATAGCCTACAGATACAAGTGTGTGTATAGCCTACAGAATAAAAAAATATTTAGTCAGACCTCCGAAATAACACACGCAAAAAAATAAAGCTTTACATTTCTGCACACAGCTCGTGCGTTAATAACAGCAAGTGAATAACAGTCGCGGAATTCCTCCTCAGATGTGTTTGTTTTGCACTGCAGACCATGTGCAGCATGCAAACACAGCATCTCCTCAACGAAACATCGGATCAATGCTGCTGTTCAGTTAAACCCCTCACAACCACAACATCTGGACCGTTTAATACCTGAGAGGATGCTGGAGTCTCTCCCGTCCACGTGCGTCCCTCTGCGTCATCTCCCGAGCATCTTTACTCCTTCATTGAGCTGCATGACTGTCTTCTGCTCATTGATTTCCAAATCATCATCATCCTCGCCTGTTCTTCAACACACACCCCTGTGTTTACACAGCAGCCTCCTCTATACGTCCCCCATCTGCAAGGGCTGTAGTTATTTTATCCTGCCTTGATCTACACACAGCGACCAAACAAATCACAATTCAGCCACATTTCAGCTTTAACCCGTTCAGTGCCACAGTACTGGAAACACTAACACATCTATCAAATATATATGTGATGTTTATAAAAACATTTTATTCTATATTTATATGAATTGAAAATATGTAAATAAAATAAAGAACATTATAATACAAATTAGCACATATATGTATAAATTCACAAACATATTTACAGTAGGCTAATGTTCTGTGACCCTTTATATATATATATATATATATATATATACACACAGTAGCCTACTCAGCTATTTATTTATACACACACATAAATAATATATAACAATATAATAATATACAGTAGCCTATATTATAAACAAAAACCTTTATGTTAGAAAATAGTAGTATACATAAATAAATAATATATATATATATATATATATATATATATATATATATATATATAAATGTTCTGACCAGTAATGTTCTTGATCCAGTAGCCTACTAATACCCCAGTACCGTTATCTGGCATTTCGAGGGTTAAACCGCAGCTGTAATCCGCAAAGCCTGGTTGGAGATTATGAATTGGTGGGTAAATCAGTTTCCCATTCAATTCCCCTGTTTGAGTTTGATTTGTTAATGCTTTCCGTCCTCAATATAGGCCTGAAATCATGCACAAACAATCAAAAGCTATTGATGAGTCTTAATAACACAAACTGATCATGTAGCTAAAAGGGCATAACATATTATAATGGTACAAATGAAATGATAACATAAACATGGAGCCTCTTTTAATGTACATTTTTAGGTTTGTGAATTTTGTATAGGCTTATATATTTGCTTCCTTTTATTCTTTGCGATTTCTATAGATCCACTGTCTGAAAGCACAATACAAGCTAAACTTGGTGTTGCTAAGATGGATAAGAATATCAGACTGTTACTGAATGCAAAAGCCAGATATCAGACGGAAGGCCACTGGGGTCACTTTCCTGGCACTTCCGTATGGAAACAAAGCAGCTCATTCAGGATCAATCCACACAACACCATGAATGAGTCTCTCTCTCTCTCTCTTCACTCGCTGCTCAACCCATAGGAACTGACTGCAGGTGTCTCCGAGTCACAGCAAATAGGTAAAGAAATATACATTTTTGTCATCCATTGTAGAGACTGTCAAGTCTTTCAAGAAAGCGGTAAAGTCTCTTCAAAAATATCAATTCATAAGCATCTGCGTGCGTTTACATGCGAGCGCTAAATAAGAGAAAGAGAAGGAGTCCCCCTTGTGGAATACTATAGAAATGGCAAGAACTGAGACACTTACATTAAGGGTTTTCAAACGTAAAATATGATGATCCTCTTGTGAGCCACCCTTACCTAAAGTATAAAGGCACCCGCATATTTTCATGCGTAAAGTCCAATTTATTCTGTGAGAGAATTTTTTTTGCAAAAATGATAAGTCTATTATACATGTCGTTTCCAAATGATTAATGGCCTTTTATTTAGTCAATATAGCCTACTAAAGACTAAACTAATTATTAAAAACTATCTATGAATTTACTTTAAGTTTACAGCATGTGTTAACTCACTATTTTTGAACTTTTGTATCACCGTTAAAGGGTTAGTTTACCCCAAAATGAAAACTCTGTCAGTAATTACTCACCCTCATGTTGTTCCAACCCCATAAGACTTTCGTTCGTCTTCGGAACACAAATAAAGATATTTTTGATTAAATCTGAGCGCTGTCTCACTCCTCCATAGGCTTCTAAGGGATTGAAACTTACCGGCCCAAAAGTTAGTAAAAACATCGTTAAAATAGTCCGAGTGACAACAGTGGCTCAATCTTAAATTTATCAAGTGACGAGAATACTTTTCGTGCGCAAAAAAAAACAAACAAAAATAATGACTTTATTCAACTATTCATTTCCTTTTCTGTGGGCCTGGAGTGAGTTCATGTAGTGTAACAGCGCAGCGCTTCTGTGTTGTACGTCACACGCATCACACATTCACACACATGACCAGCGTTGGCCAATAGTGAGCCTACGTGTGACGTACAACACAGAAGCGCTGAGCAGTTTGCAAGCTTCCCAGTTTGAAACCCCCTGCTTTACACCAATGACTAAGAATGATTTTGATTCACTTCAGATGCAAAAAAAGACCAGAGTTCTCTGTATATAAGAAAGAAAAAAACTTTATTTTTACCCACCCTTCATAAAAATCTTACTTTACAGTGTTTCAAAAACTGAACTCAGTGGTTGAACAGATCAAAAGGGCAAGATTTACAATACAGAGATGTTCTCACAAACACCTCTAGCTTACATCCTCTACTTATAAATAATTTCAGACAATTACGTGTTTTACAGCTCATTTTGTACACATCTCCAGGGGAACAGGTTAACAAATTTGATTATGCTGCCGATATTTTAATTAAATCACTCAGGAAAGAAAAACACAAAACGTTGCTCTAAAATAAAAACAAGGTCTAATTGTGTCTGCATTGATTTAACATCTCTTAGGGAGATTTTAAATATGCATAAACCGTAGGAAGGCCAATCAGTGTAATAAAAGATGGCGTTCACCAGGCCTTCTCCGGACGGACGTGTCGTCTACACTAGGCTGGGATTAATACACACAACAGCAGAAATGCACACAGTTGTACTTTATCATGCGTAACACAATTCAGTCACATGAAAGCAGGTGTGATTAACAACAGGACAAAAAAAGACCAGAGCGCATCTTTCTTTGCATAAAACGCTCAAACAAGAATTCTGCTTAAAAAAAAGACGTAAAAACACATTATGACCGATTGTATGCTTGCTTTGGGGTACAAATTAAATACAGTGTAAGCTATCAATAAAAAGCAGACTATTTCTAAAGGTTGAGTGATTTTGGTTTAAAATTGTGTTCAAAGAGTTTAGGTTTGAACATACAACCCCAAATTTACCACAACAAAGGCAGTTAATAATACTATTTTCATTGTACAACAATAAACATGTTCACCAAACAGCTCTGAATCAATAACTCAGCCTGAATAAGGGCACCTGGGAAGTTCAAGGTTGAAATTGGTCCATAAAATGATCGAGAGGTAGTTTAAATGAGACTTGGAATGACGGAAAGAAAGGATTTTGGCAAAACTCAATGTTTTTCGTGAGTCCTTTTTAAAATGGAACATTTTGCCGCATCACTAACTTCCACATTTCTGAAAAAAAAAAAAAAGAAGCACCATTTTGGATGTTGATTAGGATGATGACGTGAGGTTGGTAGGGAGCCCTGCACATGAGATGCTGGGGAAAAAATGTATATCGTGGCAATGAATTAACAGTTTGTTCCCACGACTCGGGACTTGCCAATACGTCAGCATGTTTTACTAATCCGTTCCCTTGTTTTAAGAAAATCGTGCACACGGTATAATTCGTTCCCCGATTTACTAAATCGTGGCTGCATTGTAACAATTCGTTCCCTTGTTTTAGTTCAATCAAAACCAGGGAACGTATTAGTTGAACGTGGCCACGATTTATGTCATTTGTGGGGCTCCGTAAGTTGGAAACAGCTCTAACTGCACTATAAGCTTAAAAACTGGTGGAGGATTTTTCCAAAAACTACAGTAAATTCTCGTGGAAGATAATTCACCCCTCCACAGGCTGCGAGCATTTCACACAATGTTCTTCATCCTTGGAAATGAGCAAATCGCACAGAGCCGCTCGGACGCACATTCTGGGCTCCCAGGGCGAACCCATGTCGGGGCTCTGGTAGCCCTGACACACACCCAGCCCTTCCAGGTCTAGCAGGAGCGACACCACATGATCGAGCGTCTCGAGGCAGGTGGGGTGGCGCGAGTACACGGCGTGCATGAGCAGGAGAGGCTGGTTCTGAACAATGACCTGGTAGAAGAAGCCCTTCTCGATCTGGACGATGGTGTCAGCCATGGTGGAGAGCTTGGAGCACTGCAGGAGCTGGAGGACGGGGCCTTTGGCCATTACACACACCCAGTGAGCGGGCAGCACGGTCTGGCCTAGGGAAGTGAACAGCTCCATCAGGCCTTGGTCTCGGTCGCAGTCGCTCTCTGCTGCCGCCAGACTGAAGATCTGAGTGATCTACAAAAGCAGATGTGACATTGACAGGTGTGGAAATCTCTGACTGCGCTGAAGGTTTCATGCACCTCTCTCTCCAATTGACCGTTCGCAAAGACCCGCCCCCTTTAGTTACTGTTGCTATGTCCGACAAGCCACGCCGCTCTCGCGCCTTACCATGTTCTCAAAAGACATTCATAATACAACTAATCGTCAAAGAATCCTGAAAAACATTTATTACGGTTTCCTCAAAAATATGAAGCAGAAACAAATGTTGAAATAATACTTAAAGGGTTAGTTCACCCAAAAATGAAAATTCTGTCAGTAATTACTCACCCTCATGTTGTTCCAACCCCGTAAGACTTTCATTCATCTTCGGAACACAAATTAAGATATTTTTGATTAAATCTGAGCGCTGTCTCACTCCTCCATAGGCTTCTTAAGGGATCGAAACTGACCGGCCCAAAAGTTATGAAAGACATCGTTAAAATAGTCCGAGTGACTACAGTGGCTCAATCTTAAGTTTATCAAGTGACGAGAATACTTTTTGTGTGCAAAAAACAAACAAAAATAACGACTTTATTCAACTAATCATTTCCTTCTCTGTACGGCCGTGATATTTCACTTAGTGAAACTACGCAAAGCTTCTAGGTTGTACGTCACACGCAGGCTCACTATTGTCTGACGCTGGTCATGTGTGTGATGCGTGACGTACAACCTAGAAGCTTTGCGTAGTTTCACTAAGTGAAATATCACGGCCCACAGAGAAGGAAATGATTAGTTGAATAAAGTCGTTATTTTTGTTTGTTTTTTTGCGCACAGAAAGTATTCTCGTCACTTGATAAACTTAAGATTGAGCCACTGTAGTCACTCGGACTATTTTAACGATGTCTTTCATAACTTTTGGGCCGGCCAGTTTCGATCCCTTAGAAGCCTATGGAGGAGTGATCCAGCTCTCAGATTTACTCAAAAATATCTAAATTTGTGTTCCGAAGATGAATGAAAGTCGTACGGGGTTGGAACAACATGAGGGTGAGTAATTACTGACAGAGTTTTCATTTTTGGGTGAACTAACCCTTAAACAATATTACCGTATTTTCCGCACTATACGGCGCACCGGATTATAAGGCGCACCTTCAATGAATGACCTATTTTAGAACATTTTTCATATATAGGGCGCACCGGATTATATGGCGCATAAGATACTGCAGTCAAACGTTTGACTGGGTTTGCGTTATGCATCCACTAGATGTCAACAAAACAGTCAGATAAAGTCAAACTTTATTAAGCGTTCTGACAACTCCGTTCACTCCCATGGTAACGTTGTTCAAACGTTAAAGGAGAACTCCGGTCAATTTTAACATTGAGCTCATTTTTTGTAAATTTGGAGTGCTGTCAGTACAGATAACAACGACAAAAACCGGTGTTGCCTACACCGTGTTATCCTCTTTTTAAAATTTGCACCCTGTTGACTTAAACGGGAAAAGTTTTAAACCTGCTTTTAGCCTCTTAACAACCTTAATGTGCCATTACAAGTGCACAGCCATGTGAGTGAACACGGTGAATCTGACTGCAGTAAATGTGAAAGATATGAATAAAAATGATGTTTATTCAGCCAGCTCACATACCCGTATTTAATTCCTGTTTTCGGTCGAAGTCCACAGTAGGCGATTGTCGAGTGCGCGCGCGATCATTGGTAACTAAGCAACAGTGGAGACTCAGACTGTCAGCTGTCAGCCGATGACGGTGCTGTGTGGTGTGCTGAGAATATCAGCTCAAATGGATAGCGAACTCGACAATCAACTACCGTGGACTTCGGCCGAAAACAGGAAGTAAATACGGTATGTGAGCTGGCTGAATAAAGAGATTATTCCTGCCTTCGTGAAAGCTCGGATCACAGTTGAGACTGATATATCAGCCCAGGCATCCACGATCCATTGGCAGATAGTGGCGTAAGTCGCCCGGCGCTGTCTCCCCGTCTTGGTGAACGTGTGTTCACCATCCATATATAAGGCGCTCCGCATTATAAGGCGCACTGTCGTTTTTTGAGAAAATTAAAGGCTTTTAAGTGCGCCTTATAGTGCGGAAAATACGGTACTGTTTTATGCTATTTTTGATCAAATAAATACAGCCTTCGTGCGGATAAGAGCTTTCTTTCTAAAACATAAATCTTAAAGACCCCAAAGTTTTGAACGATAGTGTATTGAGTAGTAGTGAAGACAGATGTCCAGCGAGACTCACCATCGGCGTGGCCTCCTGTTGATGTTCTAACACGTGCTGTTGTGTGTTCTGTGGTTCTTCTGTGAAATGTGATGGTGGTGACCCCACTCTCACCATCTCAATCTGAAGAAAACCATTCTGAGTCGCATCATCCCCCATCGGCAAAGAACCGATGACCTCACCCAGCGGCATCTGATTGTTGTTGCACATAGGTACTGATCCAAGCATATGAGGCGCCACCGGCATGCCTGACATGTTGTAGTATAATCCCTGCGAAACATGCAGACAAACAAACGTCAGCTTTCAACAGCCATTGACATTTGCAACATCTATAATTGGATTTTGTAAATTTAACATTCTGCTGAAAAACCTGGTGAACTATCCACAATTCTGAATCAAGATTCTCCAATCAGAGAAATCACTGTTATATTAGAAGTGGGAATCACTACATACAAGGTTGGGTTGAGATGGCAAGCAGGAAATACCAAGGTAACATGCATCTACCTAATGTTAATTATGGGATGTTTAACCATTAGAGCATAACAAAATAATACTACTACTAATTATTATTATTACTGTTGTGTAGCCATATTGATATATAATCATAACATTTTGGCCAAATTGTGCAAACAAGCACAGCAAACCTGATTTTTTTTTTTTTTTATCAGAAAAATCATGCAGTCGTAAAACCCTGAATGCAATGTATGTCCCTTTGGATAAAAGCAATTGCAAAAATGCATAAAATGCTTTAGTCTAGATTTGTTTAATGCCAATTAGCTAAGAAATGAATTCCAGAACCAAGGCTGGAGAAATCAAATAAACGAGAATGATGTAGAAAGCCTTACCTGAGCACCGAGTCCAGAGGTGTTTGAGTACATCACATTAGACGCCATCATTGACCTCTCATTGCCCAAAATATCAGGATCCTATGAAAACAGGCAACGAGATAATCTAACATTAAAAATATTTAATAACCTAATAAACATTCATTAAAATAGTTCATATTTCTTGATTAAATTACATTGTTGTTGGCGACCTTCTGCTGAAACTTTAAGTCTACTTTTAGTCTGATGCTGCAATCAAGTCATAAATTACCATAATTACTGACAACTTTCTGACTCATAAAAACCATTAACGTCATTGTTAATCCCATAAACACAAATTGAAAATATGTTCTGAAATTTATGACAGCTCTGATGTTTCTAACTCCAACTTTTAAATGTTATGGCACTTTATTATAGCCACTGTACTTTGGTCTTAAGTATTTGACACAAGCATTGAGTTGTGAATAATGTAGTTATGAAGCACTTTGCTGTCATCAACAACAAATGGATCCATTTCACAATAATTTGAGTCTAAAATAAGTCCAAAAACGTAAACGGCATAAGAGTTGTCATCATGTATGATGTGAATGCAGACTAGACTTAGACCTTGTTTTGTGTTTTGGTTGTGCAACATTTAATTCTCTGACTGCAAACATTTAGAAATCAGAAACCTCTTCTATGTTGGATGGTTCGTCATCCTCAATCACGGCCTCAATGAACATGTCGTCGTCCTCTTCCTTAAAACTGTAGTTCCATTTCTTCCTTCCTCTGGCCTTGGAGCCATTCATTTTATACGGTCTCACTTCTTCGTCATTATCCTTATCAGACATTTCATCTTCATCTTCATCATCATCATCATCATCGTCATCATCCTCCCAGGGTTTGCTTCTGAATTTCCGCTTTTTTGCTGGTCTCCCACGCCTCTTGAGCTTGGGTTTCACGTTTCCTCTTCTTTGTGGAAGGGACGGATTCAGCTTTCTCTGCATATGATAAAACAAAAAGATCTCGCAAAATGCACCTCTGAAATGTGTATTAGTTGCCTGATGGTCAGGTGATAACCAGTGTTGGGGAAAAGTTACTTTTTAAAGTAATGTGTTACAATACTGTGTTACTCCCTTAAAAAGTGACTAATTGAGTTACGTAAAGTGATGCGTTACGTTACTTTTGCGTTAGTTTTTCACACCTGGGCTGGGCTTGCTTGTTTGTTTAAAAGTTCTATTTTTTGCAAATGTAAAGTAGCAAACTGGTAAACTTTGTCAGCTGTGCTGCCATTCTATATCACAGAAGAAGAAAGTTCAACACTATTACTTTAGCAATAAACATGTGATGTTTATCTAAAGACATTTTTTATTTTTAGCTTATTAGTATCCATTTCAGATCATTGAAGGTCAGCAGCAAAAATATTGGTTAATAAAGTGAGATTTAAAGTACATATAACATATAATATTACGCAAACCTGCAATAATTATATGAGGTTGCATTTCACTCTATTTATTCATTTTGAGGAATACTACATATGTTTCTTGAATAAGTCAAATGAGTAAATGCATGCTCACATATAGTCTAGAACTACAATAACCATCATGTTTACACACAAGCACCTTTCCTCCCGATTTCTCTCGAGATGGGGACAGGAGAGCTGTCAGTCAATAAATGAGAAAACGGAAAAAAAGATATTTTGTTGTAAATTCAAAAGTAATGCATTATTTTACTAGTTACTTGAAAAAAGTAATCTGATTACATAACTCGGGTTACTAGTAATGCGTTACACCCAACACTGGAAATAACCTAACTCTTGAGTGATGCCATCAGATGTTAATCATACAAATACGTACATGTGCACTTTGACCATGAAGCTTTGACTCAAACTTGCACTGACGTAAGCGACATTTCTGCCTTTTCTTGTTACTGCCGCCATACTTGGGCTTGTCCATGCAGAAGTCGCATTTGCCACAGTCGTCTTCACGAAGACATGCGACACACTGCCGACACATTCGGCGATTCCGTTTCTTTTGAGCCTAAAAGCAAGAGTAGACAGAGAAATTAATAAAGGACTAAAGATTTTTTTGACATGCAGTAAAGACATAACTAAAGCTTTTTAAGGGGTTTTATGAGTTCCGCTTTAATCAGGAAAAGAATATTCCATGCTCAATCCATAATATGCTTTTACTCTGTAAAGCCTGACAGATGCCTGAAATAATAGTGAGAAAAGAAATTTTTTTAAATGCAAATGTTTATTAAGCCTTTAAACATCTCATATAGTATAAAATAAAAGAATATATAGCTCATACTCCTCAATTTTATTCAGTGGCACAAACTGAGCAAAAATATGCTATTAAGTGCAGTTGCTGATATTTTTATGGCCAAAAAGTAAGATGAAATTCTAATAATTTTTAATAAAAAAACATCAATGAGAACAGTAGTCAACTTACATAAAATGCATATAAATTTAAGTTATCTGAATGGAATGAGGCTGTATATAGAATTCACGGCTCTTCTATCTGTGCTAGACACAGCCTTATTCAATTCAGTGGTCCATAGACTTCATTTATCCAAGGCCAAGCTGGCAAGGATGTATTCCTCTGTTGACCCTACCTGTGCAAGATGTAAGCAGTCCCCTGCTACCTTAGCTCATATGTTCTGGTTATGTCCTAGACTGTCTGTTTTCTGGTCGCAGATTTTTGTATCTTATTCTAGAATATTCAGTAAAGATGTTTGTGCAAACCCTATAACTGCTATGTTTGGTATTGTGTGTGAAAAAAACACTTTTTCAAAAAGTGAATTGGACTGTATAGCCTTTACTTCTTTGCTGGCAAGGCGCTTAATTTTGATAAATTGGAAGCAATCCTTCCCCCCTTCTTTTAAACAGTGGGCCAGAGATGTGTTACAATTCCTGAGTTTGGAAAAAATAAGACCTAACTTAAGGGGCTCCGGGCCTAAGTTCACTGTCATGTGGCGTCCTTTTATAACATATCTCCAAAAACAATTGTAACTGTAAATTTACGAATTGATGCTGTCGTCAGGTTTTGCCTATGATCTACTGATTTTATTCTTTCTCTTTATCATATGTATAAATATATATATATTTTTCCCTTTTCTTTATACGATGTAAAAGCACAATGTATGTCTGTATACATGTTGTGTTGTTGGCTGTGGTGTTATGTGAATATGTGGGTTGATTGTTGTCAATTAAAAAAAAAAAAAAATTAAGTTATCACTCTATATCTGCCGATAATATGTCTTAGTAAGATGATATTTAAACGCTTAGTTTAATGATCAAGTATGAGGAGTTTAAAACATAATGCAATGCAATACAAGGATGTCTGAGAGATGAACAAATAAATGCTTCCTCAAAAGCCTAATGGATCATATTTGATACTCACATTTTAACATCATTTTTCTACAAAATGATGTCTGGATAATCAAGTATTCCTAAGTCGCTTCAGTCCAGTAAGTGTTCATCTTGCAATATTACTAAGGATTATAAAAGTTATTCTTACATATATTTTATTAAAGATTTCACAGCAAAAAGACATGTACCACGACCTGAACAGGAATGTTTTTACAATTATACTAAAAGGCCTTTTACTTGCTATCAATCAGAAAACAGGAACGTAGAAGATTGTGTACGACAGCTTTTTCCAGCAAGCTTTGGTCATGTTGATCATTTAGAGGACTTAGACATTTTGCATATCAAATAAAAATCATTCCATGCCACAATCATTAGCGTAGTCAAACAAAACTACACAAGATTAGTGCTATCCGTGAGATTCCACTAGTGATGTCGGTGCGAGAATGTGATGATGCACTCACTCACCCAATCCTCTTCATCACCACCATCAGGGGCAAAATCCTAAACACCACATGCAACAGAAACCTGGATCAGTATTTTAAGCACAACACTCCTACTCCAACAGTGGAGTAGGAGCGTGTAATAACTGTTTCACTATGAACTGTTCCTAACAGGTATCCAAAATCTATAGTCAACACTCAAAAAAAATGATGCATATGATCCAAGTTTGCGTTTACACTATTTTAAAATTATACAGACCAGATAAACATGTCAAACTGCTCAAATAGTACAAAGTTTAGAAAGACCTCTTCTCTCAAGTTATCCAATGAATGATTTGCTTCTTTTTGATACTCTATTTTAAGCTGTGACAAAGTATTTAAACATTGAATAAATAACACTTTACTTTCAATACTACTAAAAAACTGTAAAAATGAATCATTCCTAATGTTAAATTAACTCTTGATGGTATGTAGTAGTGGTAGTATCTGTAATTTAATATCATTAAAATGCAGCGCTGACAGTTTCATGAATGAGCAACCATACATTGAACTGATTTAACTTTTAAAAAAGAAGCTACATGAAAAATAAACACTCACCTTTGTTTCAATTTTCTTGTATTTGGGACGTGGTTTCTGCAGGAGATAGTGGCATTATGCTTTGGTGTGCACGTAGTTCAGCTACAGACAGATTATGTGATGATCTTTGGCAATGCTTTTGTGAATGCTGCAGCCCATATATATATCATGAATGCGTCTATATGCTTTTATATGTTTATTATTACCAGTATTTGTTTTCTTGGATGTTTTGTTTTCCCAACCTCCCACTGATCCTGCCCCACCTTGAAAATAATAATCAAAAAAACATAAAAATGCATAATAGAAAAGAAGCAAAAGAAATATGATAAACAAAGGTGCTACTTTCAACAGAATCATAAATAAAAGGAAAATGTTTCTAGAAAAGAATATTCAAGAAAATAAAAGAATGAAGTAAATAATGCAACTAGAGCAATGAGGGATAATCTGGACTTTGTTCAGCTACTTAAAGTGAGCAAACAACCGTTATTTGGCTTGTAGACAGAGCAGAACAAATGGGAAACTAGCTTGTGTTAGTTCAGATATTAAGACCCAAAAGTATCGCCAAAGCTACCTCTCATACAATTGACGTGAACACAGCAACACCGCAGTGCTTCTCTTCCACTTCACAACATCAACAATAACAACAGCACAGATGAACGATTCCTCAGCACAGTTTTAAAAAGAGCATTTTCAATCTTTCATGTCTTCCAAAAACAAAAACATAATACAGCAATGAGACATGGGATAACTACAATTTTCTTAACAAAACATTTGCCAAACAATTTTCCTCTATATTAGTAAAATTACTACAATATTCCTCACTAACCTAAAACAGAAAATGCTGGCTGTATTTAATACTTGTGTTATAAACAACAGTCATTTGTCAACACAGGGTGTCAGATGTAGTATTTCTCCAATTGATGAAACTAAAAATCAGTTTTACACTGTCAAGTGTCAGTATATGATTAATGACAGAACACATTATTTGTATCGGCCTAAAAATAGAGGAAGCAGAATCACAAGGTAGATAAATATTAAACTTGTTTGACAGATTAAAGTCAGAATGAAATGCAAGTTGCAATAGTGTTTTCTTTCCTATTGTGACGTATAGCCAAGGGAAACGCCTTTTCGAACAATATCTATTTTTTTTTTTTAACCTTTATTTAACCAGATGATCTCATTGAGATTTAAAACCTCTTTTTCAAGAGAGACCTGGCCAAAATGGCAGGATATTAACATGCACATTAAAATGTATGGCGGGACATAATTTCGTCCATGAGGAATTGATTGGATGGTTGTGGTTTGCTATTGGTGGATGTTATGTGAGTGACAGGTTGCCCCGCCCTCGTGCCAGTAAACACGTCATCAGAGAAGAGAAGTACAAGTTACTTTGATTAAAGATTATGAGGGCACATGGTTTTAAAGAAAATAATGATGTGCACAGACTTATAACAAATACTGCAATCTTCCATAAATTTTTATTTCATGGTGACTTTAATTCAAAATCATTTTTGCCACATAAACTTTCTGTATTATCCCAGGTCTCAAGAATCAGTGACAGAAAACAAGGAAAAGCAGGACTGACAGGTCTTGCGATGACAGAAATACATACCTTCCTAAACACAATGTTTGGAGGGGAGTACTTCTTCTCTGCTGCAAATGAGAACATGTAGAAATTAGACTACAAAAAAGGCAATGGTACACCTTAGAATTATTGCAGAATTTCATGCTTGCTGAAACGAAATGTGTAATTATAAATTCACATACATTTAGGCCTACATCTGAAGCACAACGTGTCTCCAGGCTTCTGAGCAGAAAATGGGGAGCCACAGTTTTCACATTTACTAGAGAAAGAGAAACGACTAGATTCATTACTGCATTCATGAAGGCCCTAGTTTAAACAACAGCAAATATTCAAGATTCAAGGCATTCTGGGCAGTCTAAAATGAGTCTGATTTTGTTCACCTGAGCATTGGATGGCTTTCCTTCAGCACCATTGTTCCATTAAGCCTAGAATCCGGAAAATCTGGCGAAATTACAGTCTGATCTGAGATCAGTGCATCCTGAGTTTGTGTAGGGCTAATGGGCTCCAGAGATGGATAAAGCCAGAGTCGAAGGGGCAGCTCAGCGCCGTCTTTCCCAGGTTCGCTAGAGGAACTGACTATCTGTTGGGAAACATTCCCCACTTTTACTGAAGGAGAGTGGATGAAATCCCGAGTCCTGGATGTGTCGATATTGAGCGGCGAGACTCTGGTGAGGCGCGGGGGGCTGTTAAACTCTGCGTTGGGTGTGTTGGAGAGGCTGCCGACTCCTGCAGGCGAGCAGGGGGTGAGTCGGGGTCTCTGGGGTGTGGATGTCGAGCTGTGAATGATGCTCTGGATTGTTCTGGGTAAAACTTCAGGCGTGTGGGTTGGGTCTGGGAGGGGAGTGGCTGTTCCTGATGAGAGACTTGAACGTTTGGTCATTTCCAGCTGGGAAAGAACACTCTATATATGACAAGCAACCACAGAGAAAAAAGAAAGTAGTAAAAGAAATGTATTAAAATGTAATAATTTATGATTAAATTAAAAGCAATTATATTTAACTTAAAATTTCATTTCAATTAATCCTAAATCCTGTAAATTGCACTCATGATCATTAAAGTGACCCTATTATGCTTTTTTGGATATTACCTTTCATGCAGTGTGTAATATAGCTGTTTGAGAACATAAATGGTCTGCAAAGTTTTAAAGCTCAAAGTGCACAACAAATAAAGTTATTGTCTCCCGAAAGAAAGAACTAATTCTGAACTGCCTGAAACGAGTTGTCAGTAATTTCAGTCTTAATTCCTGCACGAACCTATGTAGGTTTGTAACACATTTGAAAAAAAAGCCTATGGTCTTCATTGGCTGCCCGCGAACGATGCCTACACTGTAGTTGTAGCTAAGACTGGAAGAGTTTGGTTTGAGTTGTCGGCATGTCAAGATGCTGTTTTGGCGCTACGAATGCAAATCCACTTTGCATGCACTTCCAAAGGATGAGGATACAGGCTCTAATTGATTTGGTAAAACGGGCGGCATCTTTACAAGGGCTGAGGAAACATCCCAAGCGGAAATTTAGATATGGAAATGGGCATGTCATTTTCAACATGTGCTGTAAGCTGTAGATTAATTACAAGAGACTGGGTTATCTGACCAATCAAAGCAGAGTAGACCAATCACAACAGACTGGGTCATCTGACCAATCAAAGCAGAGTAGACCAATCACAACAGACTGGGCCATCTGACCAATCAAAGCAGAGTAGACCAATCACAACAGACTGGGTCATCTGACCAATCAAAGCAGAGTAGACCAATCACAACAGACTGGGCCATCTGACCAATCAAAGCAGAGTAGACCAATCACAACAGGCTGGGCCATCTGACCAATCAAAGCAGAGTAGACCAATCACAACAGGCTGGGTCATCTGACCAATCAAAGCAGAGTAGACCAATCACAACAGACTGGGTCATCTGACCAATCAAAGCAGAGTAGACCAATCACAACAGACTGGGTCATTTGACCAATCAAAGCAGAGTAGACCAATCACAACAGACTGGGCCATCTGACCAATCAAAGCAGAGTAGACCAATCACAACAGGCTGGGTCATCTGACCAATCAAAGCAGAGTAGACCAATCACAACAGGCTGGGTCATCTGACCAATCAAAGCAGAGTAGACCAATCACAACAGACTGGGTCATCTGACCAATCAAAGCAGAGTAGACCAATCACAACAGACTGGGTCATCTGACCAATCAAAGCAGAGTAGACCAATCACAACAGGCTGGGTCATCTGACCAATCAAAGCAGAGTAGACCAATCACAACAGACTGGGTCATCTGACCAATCAAAGCAGAGTAGACCAATCAAAACATACTGGGCCATCTGACCAATCAAAGCAGAGTAGACCAATCACAACAGGCTGGGCCATCTGACCAATCAAAGCAGAGTAGACCAATCACAACAGGCTGGGTCATCTGACCAATCAAAGCAGAGTAGACCAATCACAACAGGCTGGGTCATCTGACCAATCAAAGCAGAGTAGACCAATCACAACAGACTGGGTCATCTGACCAATCAAAGCAGAGAAGACCAATCACAACAGACTGGGTCATCTGACCAATCAAAGCAGAGTAGACCAATCACAACAGACTGGGTCATCTGACCAATCAAAGCAGAGTAGACCAATCACAACAGACTGGGTCATCTGACCAATCAGAGTAGACCAATCACAACAGACTGGGTCATCTGACCAATCAAAGCAGAGTAGACCAATCACAACAGACTGGGTCATCTGACCAATCAGAGTAGACCAATCACAACAGACTGGGTCATCTGACCAATCAAAGCAGAGTAGACCAATCACAACAGACAGGGCCATCTGACCAATCAGAGTAGACCAATCACAACAGACTGGGTCATCTGACCAATCAAAGCAGAGTAGACCAATCACAACAGACTGGGTCATCTGACCAATCAGAGTAGACCAATCACAACGGCCTGGGTCATCTGACCAATCAGAGCAGAGTAGACCAATCACAACAGACTGGGTCATCTGACCAATCAAAGCAGAGTAGACCAATCACAACAGACTGGGTCATCTGACCCATCAAAGCAGAGTAGACCAATCACAACAGACTGGGTCATCTGACCAATCAGAGTAGACTAGGGCTGTAACGATACACCAAACCCACGATTCGATTCGTATCACGATTTTTGACCCACGATTCGATTCGTATCGCGATTCTATCACGGGGGCGGGGCTTGAGGGGGCGGGGCTTGTGGTGAAAAAAAGAGATTTTGAGAGAAGAAAAAAAATACCGGTATTTTTATTAAATAACATTAGGAAAAACCTGTATAATCTAAACACCAAAGAACAATAATAACTACGCAAATTATTATACTATACTAGGCAGTGTAGGCTGCTGCTTTTGGGCTGTGTTCTGTACTCCAACTAAATTGATTTCGGGATGGTGCCGTAAGATATGCATCTGCATGTTGGACGTGTTGCCAGTCAATTGAGGATTAATTTAATGCACTTTCTGAGAATTTATATTTCAAGTTTTGGCTGCAAATTTCACGTCCATAATGCTGAAATTGCCAAATTTTAAATCATTTATCCTCAACTAGTTTTGTGGTGTAGGTCTACGTATTTTATAATGTTAACTTCAAATAATACTAATAGTAATTTAAAGATGTGGTAGTTCTCATGGGCCTGAATTTCGTTTTGGAAAGTTGGGGGGGGGGGGGATCCCCCCTTAGATTTTCCAAACAAAATTATTACATTTATCTTGCCTAAATGTTTGCGCTCACGCTCATTGCATTTTTACAATGGGGTAATAGCCTATTGTTGTTAAGAATTTACACATCACAAGGAAGCTTGATTTAAATTGTTTAATTAAATTGAAAAAAGTAGCACAAATAAATACAATAGAATAAAGATACAAATAAAGACAATTAAAGAGAAAAGTTTTTGAATAGGTCTAATAGTAACGTTATTCATATACAGACACTGAATAAAGTAATAAAATGGAAAATAACACTGGGTAGTATTTTAGTCCTGAATAAATTAAATACATAGGCTATTAATCCTGATTCCTTTAACTTAAAGCCATCTTTTGTTGTTTTGACAACAAAATTAATGACAGACACATATGACTGCCGTCACTTTAAGAGCTAGTGCACGGATCCTGTGTTCATTATACTGCATGCGTTTTATGCTTATTAAAGACAAAACCGACTATGTTTAGAGTATAGCCTACTCACAAAGACCGAAATTGACAATTTTGCATGTTAAAGCAATATAATCCGCGAAAAATAGTTACTAGCCAGCTGTTTTTGAGGCGGATTTTCTATGAATGTGCGCATAGAAAATAATCTCAGAGAGCGCGCGAGCACTGATTAGTTTAAAATCGCTTGAATGTTTAAACTGGTAAGACTTAAAAAGACTTCAGTCACGATGCACTGCTGGCCCGATTGTGCAAGTGAATATTCCGTCATGTCCCGACTCCAAAACACGAGTGTGTATGATCGCCGCAGCGCTTGATGCCTGCCTTGCACAAAACATTATGAGAAGAGATTGAAGACGCGCGGCACCGCTGAACACTCACGCTGTTTGTGAAATTGCGTCTGGAAGATAGTTGTTAAAAGAATGATTTGATTTTATTATCTGTGTGGATTACAATTGCGGGAATTTCCCGCATTATAAATGGGAGACCTGCGGGAATGATTAGAATTATGCGCAATACCCGCGCCGAAATTCGAGCCCTGGTTCTGGACAGGAAGGATAACTCTGGGAGTTGGAAGGGGTGTGATCGCGATTCTGCCTTCTCACATCGCGATACAGGATCGTGGACCTGAGCATCGCGATTTCGATTTTATATCGCGTATCGTTACAGCCCTAGAGTAGACCAATCACAACGGCCTGGGTCATCTGACCAATCAGAGCAGAGTAGACCAATCACAACAGACTGGGTCATCTGACCAATCAGAGTAGACCAATCACAACAGACTGGGTCATCTGGGGCACGTTCAAGTTCAAAACGGTGCGCAACGTTTTGCTACGGTCTCCGGGTTGAACGTCATGTTTCCTGGAAACGGCGTGCACCGGCATGCACCGGGGTTTGAGATACGTTTTCTCTTGTTTGGTGGGCGTGTCAGAACTGCAGTCCAATCAGCAGCAACATGTATATAAAGCACTCGGTATTAAAGTGAACTCGCACAATGGGTTCAAGGAAAGTAATTTACAAATGTGTTCGATGCAGCTCGGTATACGCAACAACTGAGGATATTAGAAGACATTTTTGTCGTAAGTTGTATTGTAAAAATATAGGATATCAACATAATGATGTAGTTGTTTATATTTTTAGCTTCATTGCAAGTGTATGACATTTGGTATAGAAATAAACAATGGTAATTAAGGGCTTTTCCTAAAAATGAGAAAGAAAATACAGGGTATTAAAACAGTATGAACTACAAATAAAGTCAGTATGTGAGGCTGAATAGATGTGTTTTAGTCTGAATTAGGTAAGATGTGCTTCCATTTCAGTTTCAGCAATCCCTTCACTCGATTGGGATGTTCTCTTGTGTTCTGGGCGGCAAGTGCAGTAACTGTAACATCGGGCATATTTTGTAGTATTAAACACATATTTATACCGACTTCATCAGGCTCCGGAAATTCTTCACAAAGAACACAAAGAATGGCCTTCTCAGCTGCCATAGTTGCAACTCTTGCGTCATCAGAACAGTGTGTTCAACGCGTCACCGTTTCTGTTTAAAAAACGTTGTGCAACGTTTTGTCGGGGCTGAACGCAGCCCTGATTAATCAAAATAGACCAATCACAACAGACTGGGCTGTCAGTGCAGAGTAGCTCTCAGAAAGGAAGGGTTTAGAGAAACCGGATCCATGATCGAACATTAAACACTGTGAGAAAAGAGGTGATGCTGCAATTTATGTTATGAGAAAATTAATGTTTTTTTTTTATCTTAGACACATGTAAAACTATTGTAGGAGACTCCAAATCAAAATGAGGAACCTTTAATTAGGCATAATAAGGTCATTTTAAGATTTAAGAAAAAAATATATATATATTTTCGAAAATGTTAAATGTTCTATAAATAAACAAAATATATTATAAATATTATATGATATATTATTTCTCCCAACTGCACATAATATTCTCTTTAACAATGCAAACAAAAGACAGAAAACGCTACACAAACCTTAGTTCTCCTAGTGCGATCCATGTGTAATCCTTTCTTGAAATCTAAACGAGTAAGTCCTTGTCTAACATTTCTGGCACTCGGAGGTCGACCTCTGCGTCGTTTTACTTTCGGACTGTGAGAATATGAGAAGTACAAAAGTTGTTTTATTAACTGAATATGATCGACATGTGTGATATGAATGTCTGAACATGTTCTGCAGCGCCTCCATATTCCAAACTGAATCTGATTTATCCATTTCTTCACTTCATGTCACATTTATTCATTATCAAATACATTTCAATGTTTATATGAAAGAAAATCAAGGTCTTAAAGGGATAGTTCACCCAAAAATTCGATCATCATTTACTCACCCTCGTGTCGTTCCAAACCCGTAAGACTTTCATTCATCTTCTGAGCAAAAATTACAATATTTTTATGCTTGAGCTTCCGTTTACCATATCTGATGTGTGCGTTGATGAATGTTTATGTGAATAAAAGCCTAAATTAAATCTGTTCATCATATAAAGCGACCGTGTCTCTTCAGAAAATTTGGACTAAACCTATTCATAGTTTTACAATCTCTTTATGAACTTTTTGAAGCGTCAAAGTGGTAGTTGTGTAGCTGTCAATGGAGACAGAAAGATCACAGATTTCATTCAAAATATCTTTATTTTGTGTTCTGAAGATGAACGAAAGTCTTACTGGTTTGGAACGACATGAGGGTGAGTAATTAATAACAGAATTTAAATTTTTGGGTGAACTATCCCTTTAAGGCCCGTTCACAGCAAGGACAGCCACTATAACGATATCGTTTTAAAAATCGTTCTAACTGTAAAAGATTAGCAGAGTTCACACCACAACTATAACAATAACGACACAGAGGAACATTATCATTGGAATTACTTTCACAGAAAAATTATTTTCCAGCTGATGAATGATAAAAACATTGACAGCCAATCAGAATCCATCCTGCTTTAAAGAGCTTGAGCATTTAAAGCGGCAGGCGACAAAATTTTTTAATGTAATAAAATGTTTCATTGCAAATATTCAGCGTAACAGTTTTAGTGAAAAATATTAACTGAATTAAATTAATGTCTTAGTATTTAAATTTCCTCCTTTTGCATTAACACCAGCACTGATCCTGACACGAACAAAACTTGATCATCATATACTCAAGCACGATTTGAGACGGAAGCAGGAAAATCTTACCTGTACAAACCTGTTTTAATTTTAATGTTAAATTTTAATGTATTCTCAGACCTTTGGACTTATTTCCAAGCAACATACAGCCTATAAAATATTCCACTAAATGCAAACAAAAATGAAGAAAGTAAGGAAAAGGCACATACATGCTCCGGACACTCTCAACACCATCTTCGTCCTCTTCCATTGGCTTCAGCCAATCAGGTGGCAACTCAACCGTCACTATTCCAGGCATGTCGTCCCACTCAGCATTTTCCTCAACGGCGGGAACATCATCGGCTCCAATCGGATGATTCTCACTCAAGAGGGCCGGCACAGTCTCTTCCGGGTTCATCGTCTCCGATTCAGCTGACGCCATGTTCAGCTCATCCGTCATATCTGATCTTTTCCTCTGGCCTCTATTTACTAGTAGATTTGTGAGACCAATGGTTTTGACTCGGAGTCATCCCAGGAAGAGTTTGGATATTGAATCTCTGGCTCACATTTTTAAATAGGAAAAACGACTTTCCAGTCCAAAGAAGTCTGAGGTATTCATTTCATCTCACAATGTTACGAATAGCCTGGGTTGCATAAAATGTCAAAGATCCAACACTTCATCCATGTCTTTACTGGTTATGGATCATTACATTATACCTGTAAAGAGAATGCTGATATTAGAGAAGAAAACTAAATTACACACCAAACTGTATATGCTATTAAATTATTATTACGGCAGTCTGATTTGACAACTTTTTTTGCAGCTTGATATATTTCTACCATGCATTGAGATTGATTGCAAACAAATCACACACACACACAGCGTAACATCGTCATTGCAGTTTTAAGAAATATGATGTTGACGCACTTGTATCATGATGTGCATACAAATCACTATTTGAATCAAATATTTCAGCAAAAGCTTATAATAAAGTTTTTCCACTCCAACGTAACCGATGTGTAAATAAAAGCCCTCTATTAAATTGGGCTGTTGAAAATGAGTCAAGCTAGCAGAAACACGATGCACAAGCGTGAAGGAGAATATTTATAGAACGGGGCCGAAACGAGCGGTTGCCATGGTGACAGAATTGCAGCGAGCCCAGCAGCGATGGCAGGGAGGCCGATTCAAATGGGCTGAGAACATTCGATATCTGCAATGCAGCGCAATTACTATGGCAATGAAATACGTTACAGTGCAGCAAGCAGCTAACATGTTCAAATTGGTCTAGCAGAAAATACTTCATTTCCTGAAGCCCTCATTATATGTAATTAAGACCATCTGTTTAAAACAACTGCTCTTTAAGAAAACTGCTGAAAGGTTGACCAAGGTAATAGGCACTTTTAAAGATTCACAATAATACAAACATGACAAAATAGAGGTCAACATCTCAGTGGTAAATTAAACCTCGCTGTAGGTTTCAGCTCAAATCTGGGTCATAGAGCCATTTGTTTCAAGTTACAAATACAGCTTGTTGAGGAAAATATCTTATTAAGGTTAGCAAGTCAGCAAGAAACTCACTGTTTCTGTTCAGTAATCAGTAATATTCAAAATGCTGAGCCAGCCATTTTTCAGACATCTCTCATATAGTTAGAAAATAATAATTACAGTGGCTCAGTATCAACACAACTTTATATTCTTAATCTTATCAACTACTTTCAGCTGCTCAGAACAAATTTGACTGTTTCATATGCAACCGTGGAACAGATTCAAAGTATTTTAATAAGTATTTAAATAATTTATTCCAAACTGGAGCTTATCAGTAAGAGGGTTAGTCATAAAATGCAATGTCTGGCTGCTTGTGTGCTACTTGTACTCTATAGTTTCTCTATCAATATTGTTGCAAAATATTTGCTGCTATACAAATGCAGAACAGTGTACTAGAATAAACCATAATGAACAAAAAAGCCAATTTCTCTGTTAATCAGGTTCTAAAAAAATCTGAAAATTCGCTCAATTACACTCATAAGACTCAAGATATACAAAAAAGTGGAATGTTAAAAAAACAACAATAAAAAATAACACCCAACAAGAAACATTAAACGACGTTAATCATAATCATGCAACAGAAGCAAAAATGCAAGTATGATTATGTAATCATTATTACATCTGTATTGTGTTTATGACCAAGATCTGGGTTATTTCTTTGGCAGTAGATTTTTATGACAAATGCAGTGACAAATGGTCTCTGAGTATGTTGTTATTACCATTTTTCACATTAAGCATTTTAGTTCGTCCCAAGAACAATGACATTTCATACACATTAGACGTGCATGTATTTTGCATTGTGCATTATATTTAATATGTTGATGTATTGCAGAAAATGTTAAAGTTGACAATGCTGTATTTATTATAATTTTGTGAGATAATAAGAACGACTTCAGTGAAGCTTTGATTGACGTTACTTCATAGCCTACATGTAAAAATAAAATAAAAATTGACACAAATGATCGCGAGTTGACGTGCTTGAACTCGTGGCCCTGGTGGCGATAGATCGTGAAAACAGCGCGTGAACAATCATCTAAATAATAGCGCGATCCACTTTTTTCAGCCCAAATAAACTTATCTAACTTAAAACATTAAAGTTATGTGTCTTGTCGTCGCGTGCAATACCTAACATTTCTACCTTGTGAAAACGTGATAAAAAAAGATCGGCGAGCTAAATAAAAAAATCGACACGAGTTTCGCCAGCCTCCATTACAGATCGCTGGAATGAGGAATGCTGTCCGGACGAGCGATCAAAAACACGTCCGATATAACGTGACAATTAACGACATACGTAACAAACATCAAGCGTTTAGCAAGGGTATTTCACTGACAACATGCCATATTATTTGTGATAGGTTTTAAAGACACGATAAGTTTATTTTACACGACTCTACCACGTCCATTTCGCTGTGTGCTGAATGAGCTCAAGCAGCCCCCCTTCGCTGTTGACCCTCCCCTTCCACACACTCCCCATTGCTTGCTTTCAGCGATGCAGCCTCGAAAACGACTTTCCGAACGCTCTCTCTTGCACGGAACCACGCCGATCTTTCGATTCATTTACTAGAGCGATAGCTATAAATTATGACGTCACCTGCGTTTTATAAACACGCGTTTTGCCATGCACAAAAACAAACACTGAATCGAATACGTGCAGCATTTTGACATTCTTACCTCATCGCGTCTCGCGCCGTCGATCGAGCCGTTCATCTGCGCCTCGTTCTCTCCGATCAGCGATACTTTCGGCGATCTACTGCGCATGCGCTGACACGAGCATCGTAGGAAGTCGATCCTGACTGAAACCGAATTAAATTTAGCGGTTGAATAGTCGCTCAGCGTTCAGTGTCTGCAATAATATTCGCCTTGAAATGATACACAGCTTTGACGCTTATATCAACAGTAGCCTAGTTCCAGGTCCTCGGAGTTTGTTGTTGTCTTTTTTATACGCATTTCACGAATAATGTACACGAATACTGCCGATTCGCGCATCGCTACATTATATTTTCTCGACCCCACAAAAATACGTACCATTACCCATTTGCCTATTAATAACCAGATTTAAAATCTATTCTGAGCATATTTTTCGTTTAGGGAAATACTTTAATTTTCGAAGCTTAGTGATGTGCTATACAAAATTACTTTGTTATCGTACTTTAAATCTTAATCCGAGAGGGACCTTATTTTTTGAGAGGGTTCAGCGTTTACTTCTCGAGACAAATTATCACAATTAAATTGAGGTCAAATAAACGTAGGCTATTACAGTACAACCGAGGAGCCCTTGATTCACTTTCACACATGAATACAAAAAGACCAAGGCTGCCGAAAGAGAGATATTAAATAATTAGCCGTTCTAGAGAAAGCATTTAACTTTGACCGTCTAATCGCTTTTTTCCTGCATTATAATTATTGGTATTCGTCATCTTTATTAACAATTATTATTTATGAACCTAATTAATCTTATTCTAAACATGGAATACCTCAATCGCGCCATTCCAGCAAGAGGTTTTAACGCGGATCAATGACTATTACAGAACGAGCACGGAATTTGGACATTTTACATGGACCATAATTACAATTAAGTATTAATGAATTAAAACGTAACATTTGTAATATATATTTTAGAAATAGCTGATTTCGTCTGAGAGAGGTTCCAACCCTAAAAAAAAATGTTTTGTGTAAATGTATGAACAAGTTTAGGTTCACACAACAACATTTTTGTTGCTTATTAATTAATTGTAGGAAGTTCCCATAATGTCATTACAGCAATTTGGCCACATTTGGACTAAAGAAAAACCTATCCCTTACGAAAAAATTAACCATGGTTTTATTATAGTGAAACCATAGTAACCATGTTTTTTCTTTTCTTTTTTTTACTACAAATACCAAGGGTAAACTATGGTTAGTGTAGTAAAACCATGGTTAATTTGTGGTAACCATGGTTTAATTATAGTAACCATGTATTTTAATTTTATTTGTAGTAAAACCATGGTTAAATTTCATAAGGGATATCATCCCAACAAACTACTGTGGGGTCCTTAATGATAACAATTCCTTTGTGTAGAGGCACAAGAAATAAAGACAAACAATAGACATATCACCAGCTCCAATATATCTCTAGATGATTTTTTTAATGCACAATACAGGGTTATGAGATTAATTAAAAATCTAAAAAATGTAAGCACAACAAACCAGTGGTGTCACAGCACCATTCAAAGAGTGAAGCCAAGGGTTACATTAATGCAAATACAATACAGAAACAAGATGAGTGTCATACATGAATTACAGTTTTAACAAAACAACAGCTAAGACACTGACTCTGACGAATCTTCACAAATGTGAGGCGACTTCAGCAGCAATTGTACGTGTTCTCTGTAAGATCAAAGACAAAACCTCAGATTGTCAGGAGGGTTGCTTCATGGTTGAACATCACGTGTACACGGAATAGATGAATAAAAGGGAATGACAGGAACCTTATCTGTCCTTGCTGGTTCTCAGGTCTGGGGTAATTGGGTCGTGTTGAATTGTCTGGTGCAGCATGAGGGCCATGAGACCTGCACGATTCGTCATGGCTAATCTTACATTGCGCTCCTGCTCAAACAATTCATCCAACTTGTACCACTGGGGGAATAAAAGAAATAATGAGAATGAGTAAATGAATGAAAGATTGATGAACAATAATGTGAAAACAACATCAGCAAAGCAACAACATCTCAATCCATTTGAGTAAATACATTTCTTTGCAAAGGTAACAGGTTGAGGTAATGCGCTGACCACTCTGACTCGCTCCAGGTCCACTTCGGCCCTGCGGAGTTTCTCCCAGCAGTAGTGTTTGTTACACTTGCGTTTGGACACCCTGCAGTATTCTCCAGTGGGTTCGAATACATCACGAACCAGTGGACACCCACAGACCTCGTCCGCAGGGACCTGCACGCATGACATTCACATTTATGAATACAGTCTCTAATTATCTATGCACATTGAGTGTTTATGTATCAAATTAAAGTAACCTTGGGGTCTCTGGAGTGCTCTGGGCAGAGAACCTGCAGTCTCTTACAGTAGGTTTTGCTCTGTGGATTGTAAACATCACAGAAGAGCCGTGTAGCACTAGATACAAGGAGATAAAGAGCAGAAATAAAATGAGAGTATGATTTTGTTAACATTTTTATCTATTTTTAATAGGCATTAAAGGTGCACTAAGTAACTTTCCCCTCATTTTACAGATGAATAGAAGAAATGCAGACATACCATTTGGCAAAAACTCATTTTTGGGAGATTGCCGTTTACCATGTATAACTTTATAGATAAAGATATACCAATGGTGTTTTCTAAGTGTAGTCAAGTGTTTATGTATCATAATAATATAAGTGTTTGTCTGAAACACATGATAGTACCAGGTGAAAACAGTAATGTGTCTTTGCTGACCATTTGTCATGAGATCACTGAAAACGGATCTTAAAACCAGGTGGTAACCGGGCTTCTCTCTTACACGCTCAAATTCCAGGGATATTGTATTTAATTTGCGGGTGTCAGGGAGCCGCTATCAATATATGTGAAGATTCAAATGATCAAAAGTGACAGTAAAGACTCTCTATATCACACTGTATATCACAGTGGAAGCATCTAAATCGAAAAATATGTAGTATTATTATAAAAATAAAAAAAAGAATTACTTACCCATCTATACGTGTGGGGTACATGGAGCCAAATGATGTCTGACTCTCATACTGGATAGAAGAAAAAGATGACGTTATTAAAAGACATACATAATTTTAAAAACAAAACATTGACCACTGTTTACAGGTCTATGCATCATGATTATTAAAACAGACAACCAACCTTGGCATAGCACCTTTCCATGTGACGCAGCGCCACCTTGGGGTTAACTGGGTGACTGCAGGACACACAGAAGATTTGCAAATCAGTGTCGTCATCGCCCTCGTTGACCTTCAGGGAAAAGAAAAGCGATGTTCAGGACACTGTAATGTGTTTGCAGTGTTTACAGTAGTGCAAATGTCATACTGAAACTATGGTTATGACGATCTCTCACCTCTTCATCGTACTGTACGACCTGCTGTTTGGCCTTAGCGATGATACCCTCCAGCTCATGGAACCGTTTTTCCATCTCAGTGAGTCGCAAGCGAGCTGACTGTTGCTCACGGCGGATTCGCTCCAGAAGTTTCTTGCCCTGTTCTTCTGCAATGCACGGGCTCTGCTGCCACTGCTGGATACGCTGGGGCAGGATCTCATAGATTCGACTGGCAAGACAAAAAGGCACAAATATTCAGAGTCTGTCTAATCTCATTCATACTTAATTACAACAAGTTTTTCCGGGTTTACTTGGCAGCGAGCTTCATGCCGCACTCATCAGAGCAGTATTTGGAGCTGGCGCGTGCAGCTTCGACACATCCGGGCCCGAGGCACTGTCTTGCTCCTCCACTGTCTCGCACCTCTGGCCGCTCGCTGTGTCTCACCCGGTCGCGGTGCTTCTGTTTGGGTTTGTGCTTCCGAGGCTTATTCTCCTCTTTCTTATGAATGAAAAGTCCAAACATAAGTTTCCATTCTAAGCACAATGATTTACTTTAAGCCAAAAATTACCATTAAAAGATTAACCCTATAAAACCCACTGTATCATATTTGATTTCGAAGGCCTCTAAATTATCAACATGATCAAAACTTGCTCAAATCCTGTTGTACACAATCTACTACATGCCTTCTGTCGTCTGATTTATAGTTCGTAATTTATAGTAAATGTAAGAATAATTTTGTAATGTTAGTAATATTTCGAGATAAACGCTTACTGGGCTGAAGCAACTTTTGTTTACTTGATTATCCATACACAAATCTCCGTTTGTGCCTCTGAATAAAGCTTTATTTTATATTCTCCTATGTGAGCCATAAAAGCTTGAACCTTTTTTTGTCGAAAGGTTCAATAAACTGTTACATTTCAAACAATTAGATATTTCTGAGTATTATTTAATATGTCCGGCTTTACAGGGTTAAACAAGCATTCAATACACATATTTTTAGGTCTTTACCTTTTTTTCAGATCGCTTTTCTCTTCTTTTCACGTGCTTGACCTTAACAGCTCTTTTTCTCAGAGCCGAATCAGCATATGAACCATCATCATCATCACTGTTCCAACCCTGAAGAAAAAACACAAAACTCAAGACACAACCAATTCTGCCAATGATTATTGGAAATACATCCAGGGCAGGGTGTTACCAAGACAGCGAAGTGGGCTAACTTCCTTTAAAATGTACTTTTTTTTATAGCGCTGAAGTGTGATGTGAGGTACCGTGCTGTGCTCTCCATACTGCCCAGCGCAGTACTGCTGATACAGCTCCAGCTCATTCTCACTGTAGTCTTCAGACATTGGGCCGTCTTGATAGTCTCTGCCCTTAGACATGGAGCACTCCTCATCCTTCACTCGCAACATTTTCTGAAATATAAAAGATAGTGGCTAAAGAAGGACTGGAAACTGAAAGGTTGTAGGTTCAAGCACCACAAGGGATGATCCTTAAAGTCACCAAAAAATCAAAACAATTCTTGTTTTGTTTTTTAATGGAATACTGCAGTGTTTATTAGAAATTATTTATCTCTGCACATCATTATTATGTTTTAAATTCATGTGCCCTCATAATCTTTAATCAAAATAAGTTTCCCTACCTCTTTCAACGACATCATCTTTTCCTCTGATGATGTGTTTACTGGCGGGGCAACCTGTCACTCATATGAGATCGACCAATAGCATACCACAACCATCCAATCAATTCCCGATGAACAAAACTGAGTCCCGCCCTATATTTTGTCATGCTTGAGAAGCCGTTTCACTCGTATATACGTCACAAAAGAAAAGAAAAGATTATCGCAAATTCCGTTTCATGCCGATTTTTCAAGTTACTCCAGACGAATTTTCTCTGTAATTAGTGTACTGATAAAAGTGTCTGCTAAATTAAAATTATTAACAATAGATCAATGAAAAAGCATTCAAACTTACAGAACCATTTGAGAATAATTGCTGAGTGCATCATATTGAACACAGAGGCAACAAAACATTATCAGACCTTAAAGTATACCATAAAGGTGTATGATTAAAAAAAAAAGATGAAATCACAGGCAAAGCGACTCTTTTACAAAAGTGAAACTCACCCTAGCCCGCACTTCACACTGCCTCAGTCGGCATTTCTGCCTGATCTTATTTGGGCCGCCAAACTTCTTCATGTCTTTACAGAAGTCGCACAGTCCACAGTCCTCTGTGCGCATGCAGGCTTCACATTCTCCACACATGCGAGCGGAGCGCTTAATCTATGGACAAATCCCAAATACTCCCCACAGTCAGTCCAAAGGGTTAACAAACAACACACTTTTCAGTTACCGTGTTCACCAAGGTCATTTGAAGACAGCAGTTTTTATGAATCAGAATTTCTTACCCGTGACCCTCGCCGTCCATCTGATTTGAAATCCGGTGTGTCGGGCTGGTTATCGGTCCCGTCTGCCTCGGATTCTTTCTCCCGGCTTTTTTTGGGACGGTATTTGATCTCCAAGGAATTATTTTTACCTAGACCAAAGGATGCACACACTCGGGGTTGCTATTGACACTATAATAATTTAAAATGAATAAAATATTATTATTTTATATGTTCTAAAATAAAACAAATAATTACATTAAAGGTACAATATGTAAGAATTTTGTAATAAAATATCCAAAAATCACTTGCACAGTGTGATATATTTCCTGCAGTTGTGTACTTACAATATCCCAAAAGTCTCCAAAGATTTTTTATTTCAGAGAAATTCCAATTTTAAATAAGTGGCCGTCCCGGAAAAAAATGTCGCCTGTCAATGACGCAATATCCGCGCTATCCTCTGTTTCCGTTCATACTGCCATAGCCATGACGTAACCATGGCGACAGACGTGGACAACTGCGTAGTGCGTAACGTTTAGCGGCACGCAGTTCTTGTTTCTTTCAAACATAGACCATGGCAAGCAGACTTTGGGACAAACAAGGAGAACTAAAATGAGGATCAATATCAGCGTGGCGTTTTTAAGATGCCGAGAGCTAGCGTCCGCGACTAACTTGGACTCGACACAGCTTCACGAGTCACGACTTGACAGCTTTATTAGACAGGTGAGCAAATGTACATAAAACAAATCAATGTTATATAACGTTAGCTCAACATGATGAAATGTTAGAATATGGTCAGTATGTTATTCTAATGTTGATCTAGCTTACTGCTAGTTTCGTATAGCAAACGAACTAACACGTAGTATAACATTATAACTTTCGACACACATTTAAATGCCGTTTAGTGTGATAGTGTAACGTTAGACCAAGTGAAGCAGCGCTGCGTTACCTCACAAGTTTAATTCGTCTAATAAACTGACCTGTGTGAGTAATCCAGCACTTGCGGGTAGTTCGGGAGAATTAAATGTCCTTATTCCTTTATATCCGCGGGACTCGCGTGTGATATCTGTCTCTTTAGCAATCGCGACCTGCTTCATACCACTGTAATGTTAAAAAACATTAATGTTTGCACTCATCCTTAAACATTATTAGATCCATCAGCTTGACAGCAAGTCCCATCATTCACCTCATCACTGCGTCATCAACCTACGGCTTTGTTATTGTTGGAAACTGCGCCCTCTTGTGGCGAAAAAAAACTACATATTGTGCCTTTAAATAAATAAACTATAATTCAAATAAAAAGTCCTTACCTCGACACCTTTCACAATACCAAACGTGGATGGTTTTGGCCGTCTTCTCAGAAATATTAATGCAGTCTCCATGAAACCACTCACTGCAGCTTTCACAACCACTGTTTACAAAAGAATTTAAAACATGCAATTAAAAATATTTAATTTACAAAGAAAAAGCCTCCTAAAAAAAGGCATTCAAACATTTCAATAGAAACACATCTTACATCATGAAGCAGTTGATGTCTGGTTTGCGACAAACGCAATAAACAGGCGTGTTGCTCCGGCTTAGACTCATCCCGGGTCTGGGATGTTTTTCAAAGTCTGACACTTCGTTATCCTGTAACATAAGAGAAGAAACAGAACTTGCACCCAATTTAGCATTTTCTGTATGTTACTGTAACCCTGCCAGCAGATACTATTACTGTATTCTGTGCGGCTCACATTTTATGTCACTCACTATATACTGTATATGCACACTTTAATATGTTTCTATATACTGCATACCAAACTCTGATACTTTGTGATGCCAAACCTTCATTTGAACGATAGCACATTAATGCAAGAGCTACTCTGAGCTGTCATTGCCATTTATATTAAATAGTATTACACTCTCTCTCTATGACGGATTTTATCATACTCTTAACAAAAAAGTACCATGTTTTGAACATGAACCAGGGCTTATATAAGTGCCTTGGTATATTAATTGTTCAGAATTAGTACTAAGGTATATATCAAAGTAACAAAGTATTACAACTTGTAGCATGGTACCGCCCAGTTCTACTTATAAGGGTAAAACAACCAGAATGGCAAAACTAATATTTCACTTACCATGACAGATTTGTACGGTTATTGTCCAAAAGGAAGGAATGTCACGACAGTCATTCAGAACATCTGAAGTACAAAAACTAAAAAGCTGTCATAACATCGTGAACTAAACGTGTTTACAGTGAATTCATTTAATTTGACTCCTTTTGTTTACACAGCGGAACACTGCATCACAACATTTACTTCCGCTTCCACCGCTATGATTCTTCTTCTACGGTTTAGGGACCAAACGATCTACTGCCACCTATTGGACGTGTGTGTAAGTGACGCGCACCTACAGACAGGTGACAAAACTACAACAACCATACAAACATTTTTGTTACTTGAAATAAAATAAAATATAAAAAGTCAAGGCAACATTTCTCATTTCCATTTAGTTTAACTTGATGTACTAAAATAACTAAAACCGAAATAATAATAAATAAATAATAAATAAATAAAAACAAAGTCAAGGCAACATTTCTCATTTTCATTTAGTTTAACTTGATGTACTAAAATAACTAAAACTGAAAAAACAATAATAAAAAATATATAGAGAAAGAAACTAAAAATGCAACTAAAATGAAAAAGAAAACGGAAAATATAACGAATAAAAACATTCAAAATGCAACTTAGAGAATTTCCTTTTGATATTATACAGTAAAAAAGATGTCTTTAACAGTTTGTTTGTTTTTTGCATTTTAAATGTATTTTGTATTGATTTAATATTTTGACTGATATGATTGTTGAAAATTGTATTCAGATTTCTACTATTAGAATCAAATTAGTATTAGCTATATAATTACGGACTTATTCATTCTGATATTACCACCAAAATTCAGAGAGAGATAGCCATAAAGAAATCTGGGTCAATATAATCAGTAATATAAACAAATGATTATTGAATTATTATCGTCCATTAATATTGATAATACCCAGTGGGAGGCATGAATGTGTTTGAAACATAGACTGTATAAAACTATGTTTGAAAACATGACTTCATGCAGCAAATAAACCAGAATTTCATGAGGTAATTTATATATGAATTATTATTATTATTTTCGTACCAGTACTGTAGGTAAACCATATGATAAATCACCAGTTCCCTGCAGTGCAGGAAGGATGTCGTGCACGCGCACAAGCTCGAGAGTTCGCAATCGCAACACGCGCTGGTCAAAGCCGATGCTCGCGCTCACAAGCGAACATCACACATTCATTCTGAATTAAGGTGAATTAAAACGTCCTCGGTACAAGACTGGAGTTATTCGAGATCAGGTAAGAAAGACTTCAATTCAACTTTGTGTCTTCTTCAGGCTCTGGTCATTTCGCTTCATTCTGGGTCATCAGAAACAGAGTCACGTTATCGAAAGTTTACTTCTGTTTACCTCTTTCAAGTGCAAATGAAGTGCCAAAACGTAATTTTTTAAAAATAACACGTGGTTAATTTGGACAAGCAATAATTTGGATAATTAAATTTAAACTTTAAAAACGTTTATATGAAAAGGATATACTTGATATGATCCAAGAAATATTTTTATTTTGACATTTACGAGACTTTTGTGTTGTGCTTGACTGCTAAACATCCAAAATATACATTAATCATGATAAAATCAATGATAAAAAAATCATAAATAGGTTTGAAGTCATAGACCAATGAAATAATACATTAGACATTAATCATGCATATTATGTTATGTATTCTATAATATTTGTTAATGTTATTATAATTATTATAAAGTTGAAAACTAAACTTGAAAAATTAATAAGAGCAACTGTCAAGGTTTTAAAGTAATCTGCAGGACAGCAGAAATTTCATGTAAGACAAATATGTACATTAATAGTAGTGTATAATATAATCTCATCAGCTTCGGATAGGCCTACTTACTTATTTTTTTAGATACATACTACAAAATATGAAAAACATTAAAAATGTTACAGTAGAGGAGTGGGGACATAGAATGACTCAGAATCAGGGGCAGAAAGGGACGAGCGTTGAACTAGAGAGATTCCCTAATGAATGCTCTGTCGATAAAAAGTAGGGATATCTTTAAAACAGCAAACAACCAGCAAAAATGTTTATTATGACTCCTGCATATTAGCTCAGGGCTTTGATGATATTGTCAGTTCTTTCTGACCTTTCCAACTCCCTTCAGGTCAGTTTGGAGAAGCAGCTCAGGCAAATGTCTGTTTAATGCACTTTAAAGTCGGCATGAAACGGAAGTTGCAATAGTTTTTTCATCCCTTTTGTTATGTATATGTGAGTTAATCTGCTTCTCAAACAAGAAAAAATGTAGGGCGGGATTTGCTTTTATCCATTGGGAATTGATTTGATGGTTAAATGGTTGTGGTCTGAGAAGTAAGAGAAGTTGCTGCGAGAGGCAGGGGAATTTGTTTTGATTGAAGCTTATGAGGCACATGAACTATGTGCACAGATTAATCATTTATAATAAACACGGCAATATAAAAAATGTCAATTTTGATTTCATGGTAACTTTAGGTCACATTTTCAAGTGTTTCTCATGCTGTTTTGGTGATAAAAGTCATCATGTTAGAGGTTTTCATTTTGACTACACAAACACCCATACTGATTACACACCATCTATGCTAAAATACTTCTCTTTCTGGATGTCCTTTTAGAGTTAGAATTAGGCGTCTCAAATGGAGACAGAAGCCATGGATGTCCAACAGCAGGACAGGGTCGTGGCCCAGGAAAATCACGTCCACACAACACAACCACAGGCCACCAGCAAACCTGAAGTCACCGGTGAGAGGGATGTTTATGAAGCAAATCTGTTGATTTTTGAGAGTTTCTGCATGTTTAGCTTTTATGCTTAATTTGCATTGGAGAAATAGTCATGACATTCAGAATAATTATTTGTGACTGACAGGTCCCGTCTCAGCTGAGATTGTTCACAACGGAAGCAACGAGTCCCTGACAGACGGTGTCACATCCAGTGATGATGCTTTACTGCTTCCAGGCCATATACCTACAATTTCACGCAAAATAGACAAAGTCAACGGTATTTACATTTTTTATGCATCAGAAGGCAGTTCATTATTAAAAGAATTAATTCACCCAAAAATGAAAATCGTCTAACCACTTATTATTTTTTTCCTGTGAAACGCCAAAGGAGACACCAAACTTTTTTTTGGTGCTTGCATAGACACAATCATTATTGCAAATCCGTTTAGTGACACTAGTGGCAAAGAAATTACACACTTTCCCTTTAACAGTGTAGCAAATCATTTGGAAGAGCAACAATTTACAAAATCTTGGAATACTTTTGACAAGAAATGCTTGCCAGTTAAACTACTGTTCAAAAGTTTGGGTCTTTTTTAATGTTTTTGGAAGAAGTGTCCCCTGCTTACCAAGGATGCATTTATTTGATCATAAATACAGTAAAAATAACCGTTTTCTATTTAATATTGTGATAGAGACCCGAGCCGTCGCAAGGAGAAACACCAAGACGTAAAAAATGGGGTGATGTTGGCGTCCAAAAAGATGTTTATTACAAGCAGATGTGTGAATAAAACAGGTTATCAATAAAAACAGTCTAAAAACTAGAACTGTTAACTCTCCAGAGGCCAGAGTTTTAGTGCGCTCACTCAACGCTACAATAACCTTGTTCAGATTCCCTCAAAAACCACAATCCGTCCAATCCTCCCTTCCACTAGTGACGGCTGCCTTAAATACACACATTTTCTCGCTTGATAATTGGAGCATATTATTTTTTTTCAAATGAACTCTTTCCTCGCCACATGATTAATAAATAAATACACAAGATGATTAAGAACAAGAGTTAAATCAAGTCAATAAATTGGATGGATAAAGCAACAAAATGAGCTAAAATGAGCACTCCCATGCAGTTCGCTCTGTCTTTAAGGTCACGCCCACTCAGCTAAAACAGCACGTAAATATTATAAAATGTATAAGAACAGTAAAAACACTATAAAACAGTGATGGAAGACAACGTCAAGGTCTCTCCATAACAAATATATATTTTAAAATGTCATTTATTCCTGACAGTACTCCAGTTTTCAGTGTCACATGGTCCTTCAGAAATCATTCTAATATGCTGAGAAACATTACTGATTATCATCAATGATGAAAACACTTGTGCTGCTGAATATTTTTGTGGAAACTCTTTTCAGGGTTCTTTGATGAATAAAAAGTTAGAAAGAACAGCATTTATTCGAAAAAGAGACTTTTGATCAATTTAATGCATCATTATTACAGAAGAAATAATATGGGTCTGGAACGACATGAGAGTAAGAAAATGAAGAAAAAAAAACTTTTTTGAGTGAACTATTCCTTAGCATAGGAATAAATGCAGACATAGTAATAAAGCTGACAGAAATAGACTAATTGCTAATAGACTAGATAATGCTAATCGGTTGGGCCCTAGAAGCAATTGCATTGTATGTATTTGTATGTATATAAATTGTAATGTATTATTGTCTGAATTTTAATACATTCAAATGTGAATTTAACACATTTCAGCGAAGCCCAGTTTTCCCAATAGCTCGTCTCCTCCTGTCATCAATGGCTCTACTATCATCTGCAAACCGCCGGCTTCTTCATCAGGAGGATCGACGCCTCGTGCTTCAGCACAACAGAAATGCAAGCGACATGCAAAGTGCAATGGACACAAACACCCTCACAGAAAACACACACCCTCCACTTCCATGAGCCAGCAGAGCTTCAAAGGCGATGCCTCGCAGATACAGAGAGTAGCTGGAGACGGTAAGAAAAGCATTTGAACACATGGGTTCGGTCCATGCTCAAATTTTTGTGTCAATATGTTTATGTATTTTTAGAGCACGTTGGGGCATATCTGAAAAGAGGCCTCCGCCCACTGGTCTGTTCGTAAATATAGGGCCTGCTCTTATCTTTCAGTGACACTGGACGGCCCGCTGGATTTATCTTCATGTGTTTTATGGTCCCTTCACGTCAGCGTTTGATAATTCTTTCCGTTAGGTCACACATCTCTGTTTGATGACTAACTCACACTCACTAGCTGATACATAATCTAATCTGGAGAATTTAAATACTGAGAGGGCTTGATGTTTTGACTATATCAATTTGTTAACTGCTGTAAAGGAATTCACAAGATTTAAACAGATAAATGAGTGTATTCTGGTGGTATCGCTCAGGTTTGGTGTGCTTGAAATACAAAGTAACACAAATGGCCATATTAACCACATCCTCAATGATTTTACCTTTTTTTACCTTTAGAAAAACAAAGGTAACACTTTATTTATTTATTTATTTATGTATTTATTATAGTAATAACATTATACATTATTACATGCCAGTAACTAAACCTTATTCCTAACCCTATACTAAGTACAGTACATGTTGTTAATTAATATTTCTCAGTTCTTGATTGTATAATTACACTGTAACAAAGACACCTTAAAATAAAGTGTAACCAACCAAAACAAAGATATCTATGAGTTTATGAGGGTAACATAGGTGTAAACATAATTAAATGCTGATAAAGGCTATTAGAGAAGCGTAAGTTTGAACAATGTGGTCAAAAATTATTATGTCACTTCCTTATTATGATGTCAGCAAGGATGCATTTAATTGATCAAAAGTGACAGTAAAGACATTTACAATGTTACAAAAGATACAATGTCCTTTCTATTCATCAAAGAATTCTGAAAAAAAAGCATCACGGTTTCCACAATAATATTAAGCAACACAACTGTTTCCAACATTGATAGTAACGAAATATTTCTTGTGCATAGTAGAATGATTTCTGAAGGGTCATGTGACACTGAAGACTGGAGTAATGATGCTGGAAATTCAGCTTTGCATAACAGAAATAAATGACATTTTTACAGTTTGTAAACTGTAATAATATAAAACAATATTACTGTTTTTACAGTAATTTTGATCAAATAAATGCAGCCTTGGTGAGCAAAAGAGACCTGACCCCAAACTTCTGAACAGTAGTGTACAAAGTATTTACAAAATACTGTAAAATATTGATCCCTTGATAAATCTTTTGCATTACAAGTGTAACAACGTATCAAAAAATGTGACCAAGTCCAGTTAATTATATCATTTACAAATCACCAGGGCACAAATGTCAGTGTTTCCTGTGAATAAACACGGTTCGCTTGTGACAAAGTCCAGTTAATTATATCATTTACAAATCACCAGGGCACAAATGTCAGTGTTTCCTGTGAATAAACACGGTTCGCTTCTTGGCTGTTTCAGACTGCTGTGCGCACTGTATACTAGCCTGTCTGTTCTGCGAGGTGCTGTCGTGCTGTTCGGCCGTGGCTCAGTGTTTGGCCTGCGGGCTGGAGTGTGACGCTCTCTGTTGTTGTGGGGAAGCAGCCACCGGAGGTCTGGCGTGCTGTGCTGAGGACACCTGCTCTGCCCTGCTGGATTGTGGGATACTGGAGGACTGTTGCCAGTCTTCAGACTGTCTGGAGATCTGCCTGGAATGCTGCTCCATCTGTTTCCCTGCCTAATGGGATTCTCTACAGAATGATATCAAGAGCTCAAAGGACCGTAAGTGTCGGGTATATGTGTTAGCGTTATACCGCATCTTGTATTTATTTAGTATGAAGAATGAATTTGTTGCATTGATCAAAGTTGGACTGTTCTGTACGAGGCTATTCTCTGAAGTCAGACAGGCCTTAAATCTGAAGTGTGTTATTGTTTGTATGTTAAAGGGATAGTTCACTTTGAAATACATTTTTGATATGTTTTAGCTTACCTCAAGGGCATCCAAGATGTAGGTGTCTTTGTTTCTGCAGTATTTTCAATTTTGATATTTTTAGGTCAAACCGTTCTTGTCTGTCAGTCATATAATGCAGGTCTATGGTCACCACCTCAAAGAGCATCCACAGAGAAGTCCAAATTAAACATGACTTAATGACTCGTAAATGTAAGTACACAATGATGGCCTAAGACACGAAACGAGCAGTTTGTGTGAGAAAACGAACAGTATTTATATTGTTTTTACCTCTTGTAACGCACAGACCGAAGCGCCGGCGCCCTCAGATCACTTGGACGTGGCTGTGTTTACAAGAGGTAAAAACGATATAAATACTGTTCGTTTTCTCACACAAACCGCTCGTTTCGTGTCTTAGGCCATCAATGTGTACTTACATTTACGAGTCATTAAGTCATGTTTAATTTGGACTTCTCTGTGCATGCTCTTTGAGGTGGTGACCATAGACCTGCATTATATGACTGACAGACAAGAACGGTTTGACCTAAAATGATCAAAATTGAAACTACTGCGGAAACAAAGACACCTACATCTTGGATGCCCTTGAGGTAAGCTAAAACATACCAAAAAATTATTTCAAAGTGAACTATCCCTTTAAAATGGGTTACACTTTATTTTAAGGTGTCCTTGTTACAGTGTAATTATATATTTAAGTAGTGAGTAATAATAATGAATTACATGTACTTGCTATTGGGTTAGGGTAGGATTTATACTACAGTAACTACATGTAACATATGTAACAAGGACCCTGTAAAATAAAGCGTTACCTTAAAATGCACACAAATTCAGCTGGTCATGTGATCACAACATGGCAGCCACTATGAGAGCATACCACCTTTATGTAGAATAATATTTTCTGCACTTTTAAGAGCTCAAGTTTAGAATTTTTCCTCCAGTAAGCTCAAAGATGTGTCAGACTCTTCTACTTAAGTAAGGTTAGAAATGTGCATTATGATAAAAAATACTTTTGCCATCCTTGCGAGTGTTTCATAGCATATACTGTATATGTGAAGCAATAAACACCTTAATGCATTGAACATCTTCATCAACTGTGATTTTATACAACATAGAAAAAAATCTAGAGAGTAATTTGCTTTGAACAAACATGTGTTGTAATAATTAGCTCCTGTAATACTCTCTGTTTTAAAGTGTATCCGTTTTGCATGACAGCTGAGAATAAGGCGTAAGGATCTTTGTTCTCGGTCAGTTCTCAGCACTCTTATCTAAAGTGTGTGTGGCAGGAAGCCTGAGCGATGCAAAAATAACCAGTCAGGATGACTATAAAGCGTTTGCATATTCCTCTGGGCATGTTGAATTTCACAGCCTGTCTCCAGATGACTCTGCCCAGTGTTTAGACAGTGGGCACCGCTCGAGAGAGAGAGCGCTCATGTTGAATCTGGCAGTGGGACAGAGATCTGCGTGTCCAACAGAAGCCACTGAAGCTCTACTGAGATGACCTCCATCCCTCCCTGCATCCCGCTGTGGGTTAACACATTAAAAACGCCTTCATATCTGCCCTATATCACTGACTTATTGATTATATAAGTCAGCAAACCACAATGTATAATATTTGAAAATGTGTTGTAGAACAAATATGTTAATAAAGTATCATGATGATAAACATGATTAATAAAGTATCTATCTATCTATCTATCTATCTATCTATCTATCTATCTATCTATCTATATATCTATCTATCTTTCTATCCATCCATCTATCATCTATCTATCTATCTGTCTGTCTATCTATCTATCTATCCATCTATCTATCTATCTTTCTATCCATCCATCTATCCATCTATCATCTATCTATCTGTCTATCTATCCATCTATCTATCTATCTGTCTGTCTATCCATCTATCATCTATCTATCTATCTGTCTGTCTATCCATCTATCATCTATCTATCTATCTATCTGTCTATCTATCCATCTATCTATCCATCCATCCATCCATCATCTATCTATCTATCTATCTATCTATCTATCTATCTATCTATCTATCTATCTATCCATCTTTCTATCCATCCATCCATCCATCCATCATCTATCTATCTATCAGATTGCTTATCATAAATTATGAAAATGCAAAACATTTATATCTTTATATATACAAACTATAACAAAAATGAACTATACTATTATTTTTCATCATTCATAAACTGAACAAAAGTGACAGTAAAGACATTTATAATGTTACAAAGTTTTTGATTTCAAATAAATGCTGTTCTTTTAAATTTCTATTAATCAGAGTTCATATATGATAATAATGAGAAATGTTTCTTGAGCAGCAAATCAGCATTAGATCGTATCAGAATGATTTCTGAAGGACCATGTGACGCTGAAGAAAATGATGCTGAAAACTACATTTTAAAATATATTGAAATAAAAAGCAGTTATTTTAAATTGTAATATTAATAATATTACTGTTTTTACTGTATTTTTGAGCATTGGTGAGCAGAAGAGACTTCTGTTTAAAAAAAAAGTTTAAAAAAAATCTTACCATCCCAAATTTTTGAATGGTAGTGTATTTATAGAAAGAGTAAATAAATCAATATATTTGTGAGTTTTAACGGTGATGAGGTTGACTGTATATAGAGATGAGTGTTACCTGCTGGCCTGCTGGCTGAGGGGCAGGAAGGCTGTGTTTATTGTACAGATGTGCCAAGTGGCGTCAACAGGAAGTGGAGGAAGTAACTGAAATGACAGGGCTGGGGCGACAGGATAGGCCCACACGACCCTAATCCAGGTCCGGTTCTGACCCAGCGCTCATCCCCTGTGTTTCAAAGAGCCGCCGCTCACAGGAAGCAGCTTTCAGCATCACTGCGCTAAAATAGACAAAACACAGTTTCACTACATCAAAGCCCAGATGTCACGCCAGAGCTCATCGAGTCAGTAGAACAGTGGGTCTGTTCTGGTCACATCTTTAGATTTGATTTCTGTTACAGTAAACCAGGAGCAGAAATAAAACTGAAGATCATATTTTACTTGTATTCATTTACAACCCCAATTCCAGAAAAGTTGGGACATTTTGTAAAGCGCAATATTAATAAGCGATTTGTTCATTTATATTTCCTTTTTATTTCATTGTTTTCACAGGCCAAATAAATTTTATTCTGTAAATATAAACACATTTTGATACTGACACTCCAAAAAAGTTGGAACAGAGGCAAAATAAAAATGAATATAGATTTCAGAATATCCAAGTTCAACTCTTTTGAAACTGTCCACAATTAGAAGGTAAATCGGTCATTTATGTTTGGGTATAAAAAGAGGCTCCAGCAAGGAAAGATGGGTCATGGCTCACCACTTTGTGCCAAAATTTCATGAGAGAATTGTCAAACTATTCAAAAATCACATTCTTCACAGACACTTTCTCCATCTACCATACATAATATTGTGAAAAGATTCAGTGAATCCAGAGAAATCTCTGTGTAGGGCAAGGCAGGAGACCGCCGTTGAATGTGGGTGACCTTTGAGCCCTCAGACGGCACTGCATGAGAAACCATCATGCTATGTGTTAAATACAGACACATGGACACAGGAGTACATTAGAGAACCGCTGTCACCAAACACAGTCTGGATCAAGAAATGCAACTTGAATCTCTGTTACGCAAGGAGAAATCAGTTCAATGCAGAGATGCTGCTGAGTTCTCTGGGCCTGAGCTCATCTCAGATGATCCAAAAGACTGGGAATCTGTGCTGTGATCAGATGACTCCACTTTTCAGCATGTTTGTGGGTAAAATGGACATCGAGTTCTGTCTCAAAGACGAAAGGGACCATCCAGACTTTCATCAGCGACAGGTGCAAAAGAAAACTTGTACAGGGGTGCATCAGTGCAAACGGCATGGGTGAATTGCATTTGTGTGAAGGTATCATTGATGTGAAGGGAGATATAAACTGCCATCAAGATGACATCTTTACTGGGAGACAAGACAATGCCAGGCCTCATTCTGCACCATAGAAGGGATGTGACGTCCAGATCTGTCTTGTTTCAGGCGAAATTGGGCAAAAATTTCACTTGCAAAACTGCAACTAATAGTGTCCGCTATTCCCAAATGATTAAAAAGTGTGATTAAAAGGAAAGGTGGCGTGACACAGTGGTAAACATGCCTGTTACAACTTTTTTGGAGTGTGTTGCAGCCATCAAAATCAAAATGTGTTTATATTTACAAAATACAGTTAATTTGGTCTGTGAAATCATCAGAAATCTGTTCTTTGTCATTTTGTCAGTTAAATAGAAAAATAGAAAGTTAAAGAGAATTAACAAATCATAGATTCTTAATTCTTAATCAAGAAGATGCTGTTATTTTAATGACCTACCAATGAAAAATTGCAATCTGGCGAATGTTGCGAGTCTCCTGTAGTCTGTGACGTCTTTCCCTCAGGCCGGCATGATGGGTTGGCAGACGAATGACCACAATCCTCCTTTTGTTCATTCAAGGTTTTGGAGAAGAAAGAGTGCTGGCGTCGTGAAGACTCAGTCTCACCCATGAAGAACAACAAACTCTGCAGATTCTTCATGGCTGAGGAGCACCGCAACATTCAAAAAGGGTGAAGAAATAATCATAACTTCCTTTATTTGGCCTTTCAAGGTTAAAACCCACACCTAACACAAGTTTAATACTTCTGTCCTTTATATTAATGGTGTTTCTCTTCTTTGAACACAAGGTAATACAAATAAAGAACAAAGAACAACACTGCATTAAAACATAAATAAATAAAATCCAGTTATAAATATATATATATATATATATATACACTCACCGGCCACTTTATTAGGTACCCCATGCTAGTAACGGGTTGGACCCCCTTTTGCCTTCAGAACTGCCTCAATTCTTCGTGGCATAGATTCAACAAGGTGCTGGAAGCATTCCTCAGGGAGTTTGGTCCATATTGACATGATGGCATCACACAGTTGCCGCAGATTTGTCGGCTGCACATCCATGATGCGAATCTCCCGTTCCACCACATCCCAAAGATGCTCTATTGGGTTGAGATCTGGTGACTGTGGAGGCCATTTTAGTACAGTGAACTCATTGTCATGTTCAAGAAACCAATTTGAAATGATTAGAGCTTTGTGACATGGTGGAAGTAGCCATCAGAGGATGGGTACATGGTGGCCATAAAGGGATGGACATGGTCAGAAACAATGCTCAGGTAGGCCGTGGCATTTAAACGATGCCCAATTGGCACTAAGGGGCCTAAAGTGTGCCAGGAAAACATCCCCCACACCATTACACCACCACCACCAGCCTGCACAGTGGTAACAAGGCATGATGGTTCCATGTTCTCATTCTGTTTACGCCAAATTCTGACTCTAACATCTGAATGTCTCAACAGAAATCGAGACTCATCAGACCAGGCAACATTTTTCCAGTCTTCAACTGTTCAATTTTGGTGAGCTCTTGCAAATTGTAGCCTCTTTTTCCTATTTGTAGTGGAGATGAGTGGTACCCGGTGGAGTCTTCTGCTGTTGTAGCCCATCCGCCTCAAGGTTGTGCGTGTTGTGGCTTCACAAATGCTTTGCTGCATACCTCGGTTGTAACGAGTGGTTATTTCAGTCACTGTTGCCCTTCTATCAGCTCGAACCAGTCTGGCCATTCTCCTCTGACCTCTGGCATCAACAAGGCATTTCCGCCCACAGAACTGCCGCTCACTGGATGTTTTTTCTTTTTCGGACCATTCTCTGTAAACCCTAGAGATGGTGGTGCGTGAAAATCCCAGTAGATTAGCAGTTTCTGAAATACTCAGACCAGCCCTTCTGGCACCAACAATCATGCCACGTTCAAAGTCACTCAAATCAACTTTCTTCCCCATACTGATGCTCGGTTTGAACTGCAGGAGATTGTCTTGACCATGTCTACATGCCTAAATGCACTGAGTTGCCGCCATGTGATTGGCTGCTTAGAAATTAAGTGTTAACGAGCAGTTGGACAGGTGTACCTAATAAAGTGGCCGGTGAGTGTATATATAGAGAGAGAGATAATAAATAGCTACATATCATTTATATAACATACAACATTCAAAGTTAAAATAAAAGTATTTATATTATGTATTATACATTATACATTGTATATCATTAAATTATTACTTTAACTATTCTTGATAATTATTTAATTATTATTTGAAAACTACACACACACACACACACACACATATATATATATATATATATGTGCGTGTGTGTGTGTGTGTGTGTGTGTGTGTGTGTGTGTGTGTGTGTGTGTGTGTGTGTGTGTGTGTGTGTGTGTGTGTGTGTGTGTGTGTGTAAAAAATATAATTATTAATTTACTTATCAATTTGAATGCATAATATTGAAGTTGATTATTAATTTAACAAAATAATTATACCCTCCTGTGCAAACTAAATTATTTGCTTAAGCAACTTGGCCTCTATTTTATTACAGGCAATTTCTTTATGATTTACGTTTCAATTACTCCGAGATGCTGATTATTTTCACACTTGGGAAATAATTTTGGCCTGCCACAAGTGCTAAAAACAGGCCCGTTGGCATCTCATCTCTCGGGACAAAGAGGACACTTCCCGTCCGAGTGCTTTATATCCCATCTGTGATAAAATAACACTCCCTGATGAAGGATCAAGTGAACTATTAAAACACACACAATCCAGAAGATCTACCCAGAATGCACCGCAGGTCTGAGTTACAGCGGGTGGGCTCGAGGTTTCATCCAAAACTAACACAGTTAATATGGGGAAGTGAGATTTCAGAAGAAACAGAAACACATTTTATAGCAGGGAGGTGGAGAGCTGGAATAACAATAATATGGCGTTATTCTGTGTTCGGGCTAAAGCTAACACATTTTCAGCAGCGCTGAGTTGGACAAACAACGACACACGCACTGAACAGACACACAACAGAAAGGTTAAGTGACAACATGACGACAGAATTCCCTGCAGTTTTACTAATAAATCCATAATTAGCCTACTAATAAAAAAAATTGAAGACACGAGTAATTATATTTTTTGAAACGATGTGACGTCATTGACACACAAAGGCGTGAGCTATCACTGCCCTCTGCTGGACAAACAATAACGAAGAGCAACTTCTGGATGTTTTCTTCTCAAACAGGTCAAATAAGTCAGTGTGTGAATCTATGGTGTGAATGCTATTTAGTGAATCTCACAGAACTTGTCAAGAACACACTCTGCTAAAAGTCTGTTAAAGGGATGGTTCACCCAAAAATGAAAATTCTGTCAGTAATTACTCACTCATGTTATTCCAACCCCGTAAGACTTTTGTTCGTAAATCTTCGGAACACAAATTAAGATATTTTGGATCAAATCTGAGAGCTGTCTCACTCCTCCAAAGGCTGCTAGGTAATTTCATTCTGCCGGCCCAGAAAAGTTAGTAAAGACATCGTTAAAATAGTCCAAGTGACTACAGTGGCTCAACCTTAAGTTTATCAAGCGACGAGAATACTTTTTGTGCGCAAAAAAACAAACAAAAATAAAGACTTTATTCAACTCTTCATTTTCTTCCGTGTGGGCCTCTGACGTGAGTTCACGAGAGCGCCACGACGCATGCGCATGACAAATTTAAATGACTTGAAAGAACTTGTTGTATGGTCTTAAATTTATTATGAGTCCAATAAAAAAATCCTAATGCTCCAAATAATTAATTGGTTTGAGTAGAGCAAACTTAAATTACTTCAATCAAATTAACTTTTGAGTATTTACTTTCTTTTTCTTTTGACTTCATACAAGCTAGCCAAGTTTCCACTATAAATATTTAAGTTGAGATTACATGATAATGTATGAATTAGATTACTCAAATATTTGAAGTTAAGAGCAATTAAATATATAAATACAAAAAAAAAAAATCTGCAAGTTCTTTGAATTTCTGAACTTAAAAGTGTTGATGTAACTGATTGCTTTTTTTTTGCAAACGTATTCAGATTTACAGTGTAATTAAATCCTAGCAGGACAAGATTTATAACAGTATTGCAGTAATGAGAATCTGATGAGAATCATTAATGATATTCACGCAAAAAAAAAAAAAGATCCTAAAAATTGTTTTTTTCACACATTTGATGAAAAACGACCTGGTCATTTTCAACCATTTACTTAAGTTTCTTTTAAAAAATGAAAGAAAGAAAACAATAACACTCATACAAATACATAGCTGTTTTACAACTTTATTTATAAATTTTTTCCAAAAAAAAAAAAAAAAAAAAAAAAAATCTATATATTTAAGAGTACAAAAAGAAATCTGCACAACTGTTGCTCGTTTCAAAGTTGTTAGGAAAATACAGGGAATAAACATCCACAAGCACTGTGGAAATATTGAAATACATAAACGACAAACATATTCCCTTTGCTCAAGTCTGACTGGAAAGTGGACATCTACCGGATGTTATCAAGTACATAATCATGAGATGAATGTAAACGCTGCCTAATAGTCTTCTGCAGTACAGTTCTGCAGTATAGAGTGAACTCGAAGGTCTTCTAATGAATTTTTAAACAAAGTTCTCGACACGGCACCGACCACAGAACTGATGGCAGGATTGAGGAAATTTCACCAGGCAGAAACTGCACGACAACCTCCGAAACACAAACCCCATCGCTGGGCATCCAACATGGAGGCTTCAAAGAAATATATACAAAGGTACTTTATGACTTAGCTAAAAAAAAAATGTAAGCTGAACACGAGCTGTGGTGGACACTTACACTGCAGAGATCCTAAAGTAAGCTTTCATTACACTGATCTGTTTATCTACAGATAAAGGTAAATCTCATTCCCTCTTTGCCAACAAGGTTCTAAAACAATCCATCACTGGATATCAATTTCTAATTTGTTTCATTTTAAATAGCAGTGAAAATACATTTTATGTCATCTTAAATGCATGATTTATATATGTGGTAAAATAAAACTCTTCCGAATGTACATTAGTCATTGTGCTAAATCAGCACATAATATATAGATATTATATAAATGTATATATAGATGAGCTGTAACGTTTCATAACTACAAGACATTTCAAACAAGTTGCTATTACTAACATACATATTCAGATCCGTCGATTCACAACAGGGTAAAAAAACAAAACAAATGCCAAACCTAAAAAAAAAAACATTTTATCATTCAGGTGTGATATGAAACACTTTCATATCAACTCATACCTCACTGTACAGATTCATAAAACCTGTTTTCTGCAGATCTCCATTGCTTTCGGCTCCAAAACTGTGTCTTTTAAACAGGATATGACTGTTAATGCCTATAACGTATGAAAAGCATCAACAGCAGAACGAGTCTCGGAAATAAATAAAAACAACTTCAGAATGTCGTCATAATCCTGATAAGGGATGTAAAGACTGCAGTAATAAATGTCAACCTCGTGATAATGACGGTTTGATGATGCATTAATGTGATTGGTGGCTCTCTTCAAAGGTCTTTGAATGTCAAAGGAAACGCGACGGTCATCTGCTCACACAACCCTCTGCTACTTCACTATGAAAGTACTTGCATAGACAATCTGACATCGGCACATGACCAGTCTCGGTTGGATCAAATCAATATCATAGGAAGCCGAGACGCAATGCAGAACAATGGCACGGATACTGTAAGGTATGACATCAACACCGTGTTCGGCTCTATGTAAATGTTTCTTCATGTGTTTATGCATCAGTGAGGTGATCCCTGTAAACCAAACATGCGCCTTTCAGACCCTCCGCATGAAACAATCAACACCAGTTTCACACAAGAACACAAACGTCCCAGCAGGAAATGAAAGAAGAGCTGAACAGGATGTTCTCTTTTCTCTGATGCGTTTTCCTGAGGACATTAAAAGCACGTTCAGGAGCTGCTTTACTGCCGCCTTTATCAAATGCACGGATGTACAGCGCACAGATACACAATTAAAAACAGGGAAATAAAACACAACTGTCCCTTTTATATGTTTGATGAGCTACATATACAACAAACACTGACATACAGTAAGCTCCAAAAGTCTGAGATATTTATAAATTTAATACAACATTTTAAATTACACTACTGTTAAAAAGTTTGGGGTTTGTAAATATTTTTAATGTTCATTTATTAAAAATACAGTTAAAAATAACTGTTTTCTAGATTTTAAAACGGAATTTATTCCTGAATTTTCAGCATCGTCACTCCAGTCTTCACATGATCCTTCAGAAATCATTCTAATATGCTGATTTACTGCTCAAGAAACATTTCTGATTATTATCAATCATTATTATTATCTTGAAAAAAAAAAATTCTGCCCACTATTTTTGTTGAATCCGTAAAAAGTGACATTTGATAGCAAAATATTTTGTAACACTATAAATGCTCCCACTTTTGATCAATTTAATGCATCCTTGCCGAATAAAAATATTAAGTTCTTAAATAAGAAACATACCGACAAACTTTTGAACAGTAATATTAGTATTGTTAGCATAATAATTTAGGTTAAAAGTTAAACTGATAACATCTTAGTATTTGGTTTGTCTTTTTTCACTTTAATGACAGCAGCTGACAAATACAGAATCTAAAATATGTTTACTCAATTCATGATTCAAAATCCTGCGTATGGCATATTTCAAAGTTTAAACTCTCAGACTTTTGGAGCCCACTATTTGAGTGAGGTCTGAACCTAAAAATAATCATATATTTTTATTCAGGCATGTTTTTTCCCAACATGTGGTTTGTGTCCATGAGTTAATATTATAGTGCTACTTTTCATACAACTGCATATTAAAAACACAAAATAGATGTTTAGGACTAAATCTACTCTATGTACATAATATATTCTTCTATATATTTGTCAGAGGTCCAGATAATAAATGAGGCTCTAAACACCAGCGTCTGCTCCCGAAGTCTTTCCATATTTGTGTCACCTCTAGAAAAAAGTCTTGAGAATCTCAAACTCTGTTTACGAGACTTCTACAGTACAGCGATTAATGAAGACTTTGGGATTACACTGCCCTCTACTGGCCGACAATGGAGCGTGCAAGCAGGATTTGCAACTTAAAGCAAAACTATCGTCCCAATTGAAGCAATCACAAGTCTTCTTCCATGCTGAAGCTACTTCTACGACTGCTGGTTTTGGACGCCCCCGGGGAGACTGAGGAAAGCAGGGGATCGGCGCCCCCTACAGGCGACAGAGCGCTGCTGTCATCCATCAAAATATCCCCTAACCCCATATCCGCCATCAGGGATGGACTAAACACGGAGGCAGAGGGGTCATCTAACTCGCCGAAGCTGAGTGTCCCGAGGTCCAGAGGGCTGGTGACCACCCCTCCCACTGAGGAGGTAGAAGAAGGCGGAGACAAGAAAGAAGAGGGCGTGGCCTGGTTGAGGGACAGAAGGGTCTTGGAGAGGTCATGGCTGGGGATGTGATTCAGGGTTAAAGTCTGCGGCTGGAGCATGGAGTCAGAGATCTGAGATGAAGACATGCCATGGAGACGAGCCTGCATTTCCAGCTCCTGCCGATCACACAGGCACAATCATTAAACTGCAATAGGGGCATTTACACATGACAAACATGCATGTTCAATCACAACTGAAGGAACATTCGTATTAATAGGTGACAGGGTGGCAGACATCAGGTTTTAATAAGAATGTTGATTTTTGGCATTGAAAGAAACAGCAGAGAGTTGAACAAAGGTCAGCGTTATGCAAATGAGCGATGGTGTGATGCGGCGACTACCAGTGGGATTGCAAAGTTATCTGTTGCCTGATACACAAGGTCAAGGATACAGCAGTTTTGCACAAACTGCTACTTCGAGAAACTGACAAAACAGAGACTTGCTGAGCTCCAGTGATTTAAACCACTGTCAGTGTGTGTCTCCCTCTTTAAATCAAGGCCTGTTCACACCAAGGACGATATAAAAATAATATACAATAAGGAGTTTAATGACATCATCAATCAATAAATCAGAAGAAGGAATTGTCTGTGCAGTTTATTTTACATTTACACATGTAAAAAAATACATTTTCTGTTCAGTTTATTGCTTTTTTTAAATATAAAAAATGTTTTTTTTTTGTTAATTACAAATTAAGCTGAAATCAAATAAAATATAAATATTAGATGAAAAAAATAACCTTAAACTTATAGATAAAAAAAATAATTTGCTTACACAACTAACTGAAATAAACATTTAAGTTGAAGCACTAAAATTAGATTATTTTTATTTTAGTTTTAGTAAAGCAAAATATATATAACAAAATAATTAAAATGTCAAAAGCACAATAAATTACTAATATAAACTAAAAAAAAAACGAATTGTAAATATTTACAAAAAAATATAATAGTATATAAAATAACTCTGTGGAATGAATTTAAAGATGTCAAAAGAGTTTGTGTGTAAATCTATGCTGCAGCAACATGACATCATGAATTTGCGTAAACATACACGCCACTTTCAAGTCAAGTGGCGTGTTATCTATACGCATTTTGAGCTATCCGCGTGTATGTCCACACCGAAATTAACCGTCATCTTTTGCGTGTATGTGTACGCCGTTAAATGTCCGAGTGATTCCGCGTGTATGTACACGCCGTTAAATGTACGAGCGAAACGAAGCAAAATGTAGATCTACATCTGTGGAGCAATATTTTTTTTTCGCTAGGATGGTAGGGGAAGACTCATAAATGGTATTAACCCCAGTGACGGGTAGGTTTAGGGACAGGTTGGGGTAGATCATATATTTATATATACAGTAATGTAACGTTAAGTCAAGGCGTTGATAAACACGCTGAAAAGCGATTATGCGAGTTGATAGCACGCCAAAAATGGAAATACGAATTGGCGTGTCATACATACTCCATTTCATGAGATCAGTCTGGCTGCAGAGTTTGTGTGTAACTCATACCTGAATGCGCAGCAGCAGACTGCGGTTAGCGTGTTCAAGTTTCTTCTGTCTCATCTCCATCTCTTTGGCTCTCTGCTGCTCCTTCTGTAGCTTGCGGATGTAGTCGACCGACGCCTTTAGGATAGTGCCCTTGTTCCAGCGCATCTCCCTGTTAAGAAAACACATGCAGATACTCTTATAGAAGCATGCACTGAATTAAATCATCTAAAAATACTCTACATAAGACAAATACAACTACGACTAAAAACATTTAGGACTAAACTAAATGTAAACAATGAAATATACACTAATGGTCTTAGAATTGTGTACCTCAGAGTCATTACAATCTATATGATCTTTCTAACTGAATACATTCAGCAGTGCAAATGATTACTGTTGAAAACCAGAGAGAAGTGAGAATGAGAGCAGTGATACTGACGGGTCAGAGGACTTCGGAATGAGACCTCCAAGTTCCTTAATGCGGTCATTAATGTTGAATCTTCTTCTTCTCTCAACTACAAAACACACACACACACACACACTACATGGATGGGAACAACTAGACAGACAAGTTGTTTCAGATAAACAGAAATGTAATTTACTTCCTTATACACTACCAAGGACGGTTAATCTTCAGGTTATTATGTGCAGATAGTAATGACATCTTAGAGATAAAAACAAACTGCAGGTCAAATCTTCAAGAAATCAAAACTCACTCTGGTTATGGTTGTCTTTTTTCTGCCTCTCCTTCATAACAGCTTTTACCTCTGCATCTATAAAACAAATAACATGGAAATTTATATTACATTTTAAAGGGGAAATGTGCAATTTCTTTGTCACTAGCATCACCAGACAGAACTGCCACAAAAATGCCATTGGTCAAACAAATAGATGGTCCCATCCCAAAAGTTACGGTGTTGGGCTGGATGAGATGTGGGACTTTTTGTGGGAATCAACCAACAAATAACTCATTTATAGTGGTTGCTGATAGTAAACTGAGGTACAAGGAAGTATTTCACTGCATTTTTAAGGTTTTATGTTAGCTAATAGGCTCAAAATGTCTTGTTCACACAGCAACTTACAGTAGCATCTCCAATACTGTCTGTATGAACGAGCAATGGGAGTCAAGCCCGTTTTCTCTTACCAGTAACCATAATGAAAGTGACCAAAGTAATATCAAAGATGGCCATGTCCATAAAACTGAGTCTTATCATTTTTTAGACTGGAGTCAGTAGTTCGTTCAGACTGGAGTCAGTAGTTTGTTCAGACTGGAGTCAGTAGTTTGTTCAGACTGGAGTCAGTAGTTTGTTCAGACTGGAGTCAGTAGTTTGTTCAGACTGGAGTCAGTAGTTTGTTCAGACTGGAGTCAGTAGTTTGTTCAGACTGGAGTCAGTGGTTTGTTCAGACTGGAGTCAGTAGTTTGTTCAGACTGGAGTCAGTAGTTTGTTCAGACTGGAGTCAGTAGTTTGTTCAGACTGGAATCAGTAGTTTGTTCAGACTGGAATCAGTAGTTTGTTCAGACTGGAATCAGTAGTTTGTTCAGACTGGAGTCAGTAGTTTGTTCAGACTGGAGTCAGTAGTTTGTTCAGACTGGAGTCAGTAGTTCGTTCAGACTGGAGTCAGTAGTTTGTTCAGACTGGAGTCAGTAGTTTGTTCAGACTGGAGTCAGTAGTTTGTTCAGACTGGAGTCAGTAGTTTGTTCAGACTGGAGTCAGTAGTTTGTTCAGACTGGAGTCAGTAGTTTGTTCAGACTGGAGTCAGTAGTTTGTTCAGACTGGAGTCAGTAGTTTGTTCAGACGGGAGTCAGTTGTTCAGACGGGAGTCAGTTGTTCAGACTGGAGTCAGTAGTTCAGACTGGAGTCAGTTGTTCAGACGGGAGTCAGTTGTTCAGACTGGAGTCAGTAGTTCAGACTGGAGTCAGTTGTTCAGACGGGAGTCAGTTGTTCAGACTGGAGTCAGTTGTTCAGACTGGAGTCAGTAGTTCAGACGGGAGTCAGTAGTTCAGACGGGAGTCAGTAGTTCAGACGGGAGTCAGTAGTTCAGACGGGAGTCAGTAGTTCAGACTGAAGTCAGTTGTTCAGACGGGAGTCAGTTGTTCAGACTGGAGTCAGTTGTTCAGACTGGAGTCAGTAGTTCAGACTAGAGTCAGTAGTTCAGACGGGAGTCAGTAGTTCAGACTGGAGTCAGTAGTTCAGACTGGAGTCAGTAGTTCAGACTGGAGTCAGTAGTTCAGACTGGAGTCAGTTGTTCAGACTGGAGTCAGTAGTTCAGACGGGAGTCAGTAGTTCAGACGGGAGTCAGTAGTTCAGACGGGAGTCAGTAGTTCAGACGGGAGTCAGTAGTTCAGACGGGAGTCAGTAGTTCAGACTGGAGTCAGTAGTTCAGACTAGAGTCAGTAGTTCAGACTAGAGTCAGTAGTTCAGACTGGAGTCAGTAGTTCAGACTTGAGTCAGTAGTTCTAGAGTCAGTAGTTCAGACTTGAGTCAGTTGTTCAGACTCGAGTCAGTAGTTCAGACTGGAGTCAGTAGTTCAGACTAGAGTCAGTAGTTCAGACTAGAGTCAGTAGTTCAGACTGGAGTCAGTAGTTCATACTGGAGTCAGTAGTTCAGACTGGAGTCAGTTGTTCAGACTGGAGTCAGTTGTTCAGACTGGAGTCAGTGGAGTCAGTTGTTCAGACTCGAGTCAGTAGTTCAGACTAGAGTCAGAGTCAGTAGTTCAGACTAGAGTCAGTAGTTCAGACTAGAGTCAGTAGTTCAGACTAGAGTCAGTAGTTCAGACTAGAGTCAGTAGTTCAAGAGTCAGTAGTTCAAGAGTCAGTAGTTCAAGAGTCAGTAGTTCAGACTAGAGTAAACAACCCGTAAACAACTGGACTGTGTGTAAAATGTAAACATATCATTAAGGACTCAAATACAAGACAACTGTATTCTGCTGCTGTGTAAACGTGGCCTAAGATTCACAAACCATATCTGCCCTCCCATCTTTCCAAAAGTCTGATAAAACACTGCTAATTTATTACCATTGCTACAACAACACAAGTTTTACTTCTATAATTATCATTTTATTGCATGCTGGCCAGTGACTGATGAATGATGGGTATTTACACTAACTACTTAGTCACAAGTTCTGCAAAAGCACAAATATCCACTGATACAATAATGAATCATATGTATAATGAATCAATGATTATATTTTTGTGTGCGCGTGAACAGATCTCAACTGGGAACTGCAGTGAAATTGGGAAATGGCAAATCTGTGGTGTGTAACTCTGCTGATACTGTCAGACTGAGTCGACTGGTTGGTGAAGGATCAGTGCCAGAGAAATGAGGAAGAAGAAGCAGTGAGATAAAGAGATGGAAGGCCACAGACAAGAGATACAGACCGGTAAACTCTCTCTTGACGTTGTGCAGGTCTGCAGGGCAGGAGTTGCTGACGGTGATGGTGGGCGCCGCCATGCCCTGACTGCTGTACACATCCAGGAGATTTCCTGAGATTGGCAGCTGTTGAAAACCAACCACAACGCATTAAATCAGGGCCCCGCCCACGGCATTATCTAGTGAGAGGCCCCCTCCTCACACATGGTGCAGCGTATGGATAACCTTCATTCAGTTCACCACAAAAATGAACCTTCATATCTGAAGGGTGACATCTTTCACAATGGCCAAACGGTTCTTGTGAGCATGTTTATTTGTAAAGTGAAACAAACTGGACAAGGCCAAGGACAATTATATGAATAAATATAAATTAATTTGGAGGTCAAAACATACAAATTCATAAACCTTCCTCAGACAGTGCTTACTAAAACTTTTGAGAACATAAAACACAACACATCTAACCATAATTCCATTCTAGAGGTGACAATAAAAAAAATAAAAAAAAACGAGCTTCAATGAACCCATAACTGCAGTGTGAAGTCAGACATTTTTTGAATTATTAAACCAGTTACATAAGATCCATAAATATGTTTGAAGTTTCAAACATGTAGGTTTAACAGAAAACACATTTCCTTCATCTTTAAAAACCGAGCTAGCCTGATAGGTGACTTTTGATTTGTAAAACCGATGAGGTGACAACTGTCCAAAAATCAATTATGTAAAATCCATCAAAAGTTTCTGAGGCATATCTTGGCCAACACATGCTCAAATAAACCCATCAGATTGTTCCCAACATGCTAAAATTATTTAAACTGTCATAAAACATGCCATCCTGTCTCTAAAGCAACTAAAACACAAACCTACCATCATCACACAGCCATTTACACAGATAGTGACAAGACAGGCAATGAGGTAGAGAGATTAAATGTGCTAAATTTACCTCAATCTGGCCCTTTTTCTTTTCATTCTCCGGCAGTAAAACCAGAATCCTCATGTTCTCTTATACACTCGCAAAGTGCTTCCTCTTTCTGTGTGTCTCTCCGTGAAAAGGGACGTTTAGAAATGGGGAAATATCTTTTGGAGTATTAAAAACGCCACAGAAATCAGCTCGTGCACACACACACAAGTTGAATGGCCGGTGTTTCTGCATGTGTGCGCGCAGCAGCTCTGTCACTCCTCCGCGGTGTGCCGACCCCACCCATTGTGAGCCATGTGTCAGAAGTTTATATTTGCTTCCAGTGTTTCAAGCCCGCATTCAACCCAAACGTCCCGAATGCAAACACTTCACTGACAATACAGAAACACATGAGCCTAAGTTAACCTTTAATCGTAACTGGTTACACAAGCGCCTCTACCTGAACTCCTCCCAGACTCAACTGAAAATTACTGATTTGAAAAACGAAATTGTATTTCCAAAGCAATGGCATGTCAGAGCAGGATTCTCTTGGAGACAAATTTGCTTGCAAAAGACTAATGTGGGCTTCAATTAATTAATGGGAACTATTACTAATGGCTGTTTCCTCATCATCAATGAATCATCCCCAAAAAAAAAAAAAAAAAAACACTATGCATGTAACATCTGTTACAAAGTGTGATGCAAAACAAGTTTAACAAACTTTACCCAATCAGTTCTTATGAAATGAATGCGTTGCTCAATTGATCCTCAATAGAATTTAGGATGTTGCAACATACCGTGTTGGGAAGCTGCAAACCCGATTCGATCAGAGTCATAAATTCATCGTTTAAACTCGATTCCAGGCTGATGATGTCATCAATGACGTCTTCTATCTGTGCATATCGAAAAGAGAGGAAAAAACAGCTTAGCAGGAGTTGTAGATGCAAATGTTTTTGAGTCCTTCTAGCACAAAAATCTGCTTTAAAGTGTGACTTCCATACTGAGTCATGAGGCAGAAGGATGTCTAAATAACACACTACACAGCAGTTTCCAGAGTGACACACCGGCCACATGGAGATGAGAAATACAGACATCCCATTTAAAGTCTGATAAAAGTATCCAACCTTAGCAAGCTTGTATTTCATCGTAGGGTTTTCCAGCCAGTGGTTTTGATTGAGAAGGAGAAATACAGGACTGAAAGGCTTTAATAGCCAAGCCCACACCAAGTGCAAAGTGTGCAGGGGTCATTGAGGCTTGAGTGTTATATTTACCAGCACAATGTGGTACCAAAAGCAAAGTGCCTGAGAGAGTCTGGCCGACTTCACGCAGACTTGACAAAGCGCACTATTGTATTTAGTAAACGCGAGGCAAATTCTTCAAAAGATTCTATCCGAGTCTCAGAGCCAAACATTTAATTAGTTGTCTAGCATACTCTAAACGGCTTAAGACTTGAGATTATTAGGACAATAATTACTGGTTAGTGCAGTTTTGTAAGCATGTGAAATTCACAGACTATGACTAGCAAAATAAGCAGCCTAAAGTAAAAGCTGGTTGGAGAATAAGACCTTATCCTAGTGTCAATGCAGCATTGTTTGATAACACAACACTGAACTTTGACTTCTCACACAAGCTATATATCATATACAGAATATGAAAGTGAACGGTTGATGTTCTGATATCTTACTACAACAGATCTGGGTCAGATTTGAGATACTGTATGTAAAATCCTAGTAAAAGTTATCAGGCCAAAGCGCATATGCATATACACTACTGTTCAAAAGTTTGGGGTCAGTGAGAATTTTATTTTTATTTTTTGGAGGAAAGAAATCAATACTTTTATTTATTAAGGAATAATTAATTTGATCGAAAGTGACAGTAAAGACATTTATAATGTTACAAAAGTCTTTTGAACTTCCTATTCATCAAAGAATCCTAAAAACAACAAAAAAAAACTGTACAACTGACAGACCAACAACTGTTTCAACATTGATAATAATAAATGTTTCTTGAGCATCAAATCCTCATATTATACTGATTTGTGAAGGATCATTTGACACTGAAGACACTGACACTGGTGATCCTGAAAATTCAGCTTTGATCACAGGAATAAATTACACTTTACTATATATTCACACAGAAAACAGCTGATTTACACTGGAATAATATTTAATACTATAACTGATTTTTGTTGTATTTTTAATCAAATAAGCGCAGCCATGGTTAGCAGAAGAGAATTCTTTTAAAAGTATTTAAAATCGTACCGACCCCAAACTTTTGAACGGTAGTGTATATATACACACACACCATGGTCTGTCTGAATACTCAACTCTGATTGGCTGGAAGGTGTGCAATAAAAGCGTTTAATGCACAGGTAGTTCCACGTAAGTTTAATCCCCGTTCTATATTAATGCGCTGTTTTCATTGAAACGTGTGCGAATGATGTATGTTTATTTGAAACATACATCACTCGCACACAGAGAGCAGAGATCGAGCTGCGCACACAGAAACATTCAGGAGCACAGACACTTGTTATCAACGCTACCTTGTGATTACATTATACATTATAAATTATATTTCTTAGCCACGAGGGGGTTACATTGCTTTTTTGAAGTAATTAAACTCACAGCTTCGTTGTTAATAAAGAGAGATACTGAACAGACCCAGGTACGCATATCTCATATCTCTGGCTGTCTCTCTCTCTCTCTTTCTGTCGATCTCTCTTTCTCCGGTAAATATTGTGCTGCAAACATCAATAACAGCTTTAAGTTATCAATGCTGGAAAATGATCATGGTATAAGGGGGATAATCCATGCATGGCTAGCTGTGCTTTAAACGATTTTAATGCACTTTCCAGAGGCGACAGTTGCTTTTTTAAGCAATCAAAAATTGATTGAAAATTATTTTTCCCAAGCAGACAATAAAACAGGCATAAGTACACCTAAGCTTACATTGAAAACGGGACCATAGCCATATCAAGAATATCACAGAGACTTTGGGAATCAGTATAAAACCACATAGAACACCCTAGCAACCTCATAGCAACACCCTGGCAACCACCCACAACAGCCTAGAATCAAGCCAGGAACAAGTAACACTAAAATCTAGTTACTGTGTGGTGAGAGTAAAGATTATTTTGTAATTATGCATGTGAAAGTAGCCCAGAGCATTACGTTATGCTGTCAATGATTGCGTAAATGGGTCATCTTTTGTTATGGCATTGGCTCAAGGACTCTTATCTTTACAATACAATCTATACAATAACGTAATTGTCATGATTTACTGTAGTACTGTTAAACTTACATCATTTGGAGATTAAAAATCATTGAAAGAAGTCTCTTATTCTCACCAAGGATGCATTTACTTACAATATTGTGAAAAACAATATTGTGAAATATGATTACAATTTAAAATAACTTTTCTATTTTAATATATTTTAAAACCTAATTTATTCCTGTGATGTAAAGCTGAATTTTCAGCATCATTACTCCAGTCTTCATTGTCACATGATCCTTCAGAAATCATTCTAATATGCTGATTTGCCGCTCTATTATCAATGATGAAAACAGTTGTGCTGCTCCATATTTTTGTGCATTTATTTGAAACCGAAATCCTTTGTATCATTATAAATGTCTTTACTGTCACTTTTGATCAATGTAATGCATCCTTGCTAAATAGGAGTATTTCTTTCTTTTAAAAAAAAATCTCACTAAATCCACCACATTACTGGCAATATGATACATTCTATAACAGAAAGATCTGATCTGGGTTCAGTTTGTACCTCTTCTTTGTTCGATCCAAGGCTGAGCACAGCCAGCGGGCTGCTGGGAGTGCTACTGGCAGCAGGGGCCAACTCAGGGGCAGAGGCAGGCTGGGGCGAAGGAGATGTTGCCAGTGTCTGAATGGCTATTTTATTGCCAAGGGTGTGAGAGAGGTATTGCTTCACTTGCTGCCTCTGAGCTTGTTGGATGTGGTACTTTGTCGGGTTTTCCAAGTGAGTTTGAACCTGGGATTCAAACACATAACAACTTTAGTTCCCCCTAAAGTGGTAAACCATATTTAAACATCCAAATTATCATTTTTGATGTTGATTTTTTATAGATTTCTCATGTGATACCTTCAGCACTTCCACGGGCACCTGGGCCGGGGTGGCAGGCAGGGTGGAGGCGACGGAGATGGCAGGGGTGGCGTCATTAAGGCGCTGTAAAGCGCTGGACGCCTGTTTCTGGGCCTCTCGTCTCTCCTGGTCCTGAGCCTGCTGTCGCATCAGCTCCTGCCTCATCAACACGCGTGACGTCATCACTGAGCCGGCTGGGGTCACTGGGTCAGCAGAGGGCAGAGAGCCACTACGGGGGCAGACGATGAGAAGGTAAATAAGCTTAGAGTACCACGCTACACCCCCGTGCTGTAATCATATTACCACATGCTATTTTTGAAACACAGGGCTGAGAGTTCACCGCTAAGATAAAGATCAATTTAAGACAGACGGCATGAGAACAGAAACTTAAAACACAAGATGGTCAGAAATAATGATCTCTCGTTCATGAGATCATGAAACTTTATTTGTCATACGTCAAACAACAAATTTTTTTTTCTTATTTAAAATGTCTTATTGTGCATGCTACTTTAAAGAAAAATATCAAAATGTAATGACTTTCTGTGCCTGAGGCAAAGCAGTAGAATATAGCAACCAATAAAATGATTGCCTCTTTATGATTTAATTAAATCCTGATGAATATTATCAAATCCTGCTCTACATTATTTCCTGCTCTAAAATACATCACATTGTGGAAGTTAAATGCAGTGCAAATGCTATTTTATGTTGTCAAAAAAATTACATATTTACTTAATAAACAGTCTTATTTTCATCAGTGCATGTTATTCCAAAGAAAAAAAAGTTGTGTTATTTTTAAATAAAAAAATATTAATAAAGTACATTTTTAAAAACTTGATCCGCCTCTGAAACTAGTTTTTTTTCCAACTCCTCCTACATATTACATTCTTTTATCAGACACTTTTATCCAAAGTAACTTGCAAATGAGACTAATACAAACATAATATGTCCTTTGTATCTTAGCGTGTGATGCTAAATCAACTAGCAAAATAAAATAAAATCTCTCCATACAGTTTTGCATTTCCAACAACACGGCCTTCACATTTCTTTCACACGGACTCCCTTTTAGTGATGAGTCATTGTGGGAAGTCCTAGAGCGAACAGAAAACAAGCAGCCAAGACCATGCTGCCTCAAACACACCGTTTGCTACAAAGAAAATCATGATTACCATGTCAGGCAGATCACACTGTCAGATAAGCGCTGAGAGACTGTGGGAGACAGCAGCGTGTGAACTTTGAAACCGGTGTATAATTGATTTATCTTAAAAAACACTTGGTTATGTAATTCTTTGCAGTAAACAAACCTTCTGACCCACTATCCTTAAACATTACTCCATATGGTTTTTTTGTAAGGAGAGCTGCGGAAAGAGGTATTATGACTGATCATGGTGTTTAGTTTTGTGCTGAATCACTGGGAAGTCCCTGGAAAGAAACAGACACCGGGAAGTTCTGTCAACAGAAACACAACGCCCCATCTAAACGCCTGAAGGACAGCATGCACTGACCTGCCTCATCACAGAAAAAACATGCAGTGCTCACAGCACAAAAACACAACCTCTTATAATTTCATACAGGCCAGCTGACAGTCTTGCCTGGGCCCGGGACAAGATAATCTTAGATGGGGCCCCCCCACGATTTTTTTTATTTTTATAAAACACCATATACTTTTACCCAAAATGAATAATAAAAACACGTTTAAATGGGTACATTTTCTATAAATGTCTTCATTTTCTTTTCTGACATGGCCTACTGCAGTTCTTGTTAAAACACACTAGACATGCATAATGGCACTTTTTGTGTGAAATCATATTTATTTTTTGTCCATCAAAAGTGTGCTTTCACTTTTAAGCATGAGCAGCGCAGCAAAAATGGGGGGGGGGGGGGGGGGGGGGGTTCTTGACCACTATTTCAAGGACAATTAGGAAGAAAACGAATAAAAAGCTTTTATGTAACTCAAATATTAGATATTTTTTCAACAAATATGCCTATTTTATTTATATTTTGAACAATTATTCCATAATTTAATGAGGGCCCAGTTCTGGGCCCCCCTCCCTACCCTTTGGCCCGGGACAACAGACCCGTTTGTCCCCCCCTGTCGGCGGGCCTGATTTCATATAAAATGAGCGATAAGCAACTGAATTATATAATGAATGCAGCAAACCAAGAATATACAATATTTCAACAATTCAGAAATACATTAACTCATTGCCAGTAAAATCCCACGGGGTAAAGCTGATTATAGTGTTAAAAAAAAATCAACAAGTAACAGGTATGTGGCAAAACGTGATTACAAAAAACTTCTAGACATCTAACTCAGAGTATGCAGGAAGTAAATCAGATATGACTGCGGTTCTCTCATAAGCATATCTAGCATGTGGCCACAATCTAAATTTGTAGATGACAGTACAGATATAAACAGGAAGTATATTTATATAATCGGATCATTCAGCGGACTCACCTTGGGGTGATGGGCTGACTCTTGAGCTCGTAGAAGGTGTCCGAATCGGTGGAAAAAATGCCTTCCACCTCAATATCTGCCACGATCCCAGACTCAGGCAGAAGGGGTTCGACACTGAGAAGGGAAGAACACAACAACGTCACATACTGTCAGCCCACAAACATCTCCTATAATCTGACATGCTGATGCAGAGACTGTGAACAGGAGGGGTTTACTGTAACATCCCGCAATGAATAAAGTCTGTCACTAAACATTAAACTCCCAAATAGATATTTAATACATATATCACATTTAATACATATATCACAAACTTTAATGGAGGGAGAAACCACGCTTACACAGAATACATTATAATATATATATATATATATATATATATATATATATATATATATATATATATATATATATATATATATATATGTCCCCCAGTAGAAATCACGTTCCGCGGGAACGTTTACCCATTTACTTTGTTAGTGCACATTACTAATCGTGTGGCGAACAATAAAAAAAAAAAAAAAATCTGTAATCTTTGATCATAATTGGAAAATGTACATCCCCTCTAAACTGGCCTTCCATCACTGAAATTACTTAAGCTGGACTGTGATGCAAAATTTTCTTTTAGAAACAAACTTTATTGCATTATTTTCCTGTTATCTCTGTAAAGCTGCTTTGAAACAATCTGTATTGTAAAAAGCGCTATATAAATAAAGGTGATTTGACTTGAATTTGTTATATTACTTTGTTATATTGCATTTATCCATGCTTGTAATTAGTGTATTTGTTCTTTTCTTTTTTTTACTGACTGTTCACTTGTCTTTAATATTTGAACTTTTTGCTGATCCGAAAAATGATCCGATCCGTAAATCAATATATATAATCATGTTATTTATGTATACTACTTGTGTGTGAAGGACATGTGTGTGTTATTTATGTATACTACTTGTTTAAAAAGGACATAAGTGTCTTCCAAGTCCTTGCATAAGTTGCTCATAAAGGGCAGCCTACATAGACAGCATATATTTTGAGCTTTTTATAGACAAAATTGTGTGCCTAGTGCCTACATAGACATTCATGTTCATGAGGCATCAATGGCAAACCCCTAATGAGCGCAGATGCCCCAAAACTAGTCAGCTTCCTGTCTATGCATCATTTTTTGGGGGCATTGATCCACAAAAGTATAGGCAGCTCAAGAGACATCCACTATCTTACCGGTGAAAAACACATCCACGCCTTCACAACACCGTCACATCCAGTGGTGCGGCCAGGGATTTTGGGCCCCATGAAAAAATAGGTACTGCTGCACCCGTTCAATTAATAAAATCGATTTCTGGGGCCCCTAAAAGTGTGTGGGCCCTTAGAATCGTCCTAACTTTTCCCCCCTTAGCGGCGCCCCTCACATCTGAGCATAAAGTATGAAATACTATCCTCAGAAAGCTCTAAACGCATTTTAGACCTTTCGCAGATATCACATACCTAAAGCCTCTTCTGGTTAGTGTGCAATAATCCAAGTGATGTAATCAGATCAAACGTTATCAAACGAAACAATTCCGGTAACTCCGGTTTGTAAACCGCATCAGCTGATGGTCAGCATCTGAATCCCGGGCTGCTATTGTCACCCTGATTTGCAGGATCTAAAGGCGAAATTTACGAGCATCGCATCGCCGTTTCGCTTGTGTTTTGGTTTCACCAGGTGGCCATGTTTGTGCCACTCCGAGCACGCGAAGCTCCTCTATCCTCTGGTGAAATTATGAAATTACGAAACCTACTACAAGGAAGGCTTAAGCTCATGTAGTTATTAAAAAGCTCATTCAACATTGCTTGGAGCTGTCAGTCAGAAAACCAAATTAATATTCATTGACCAAGCGTTCACTATTCGTTGATTAGCCAGCTGACTAGCGCCCACGCTTGCCTTTGAGCCAACCGGCTTGGCTGTCTGGGGAAAGTAATTAATATTCATGAGGGAAGCCTTCACTATTCGTTGATTGGCTAGCTGACAAGCGCCCAAGCTTGCCTTTGAGCCAACCAGCTTGGCTGTCTGGGGAAAGTAATTAATATTCATGAGGGAAAACGTATATTTATACCATACACGCTCCCCGGCTTCTAGAGTCGAGCTATTCAAGCTGCGGAACTTTCGCTAAATACACCTATTTCAACGAAAATGACTAGTACACGAGAAAACTTGCCATATACTTATCTAATCTGTGTTTTCCAAGTGTATTAGCTGCGGACTACCCTAATATAAACTACTCCTTTACTAAGAAAAGAGAAATACAAAAGCATTAAGTCAATAGTCACCGCCAGAGGGAGTCACTGCATCAATTCTATATAAAAACCCATTTATTCCCATACTATAATTTCCCTTTTTAAAATTTCCCTTTGTTTCCTATATTTCTTTTTATTAGCTATTAACTTTTTTGTATTGTGTACTTCCAGTTCTATAAGTGCTGTACTATAAGCTTTTCCAATATTGTAATATTGTATATAAGAATGGAAAGCACCTAATTTCTTTAGGTACTGTTGTAATACTTAATTTACTCTTACTGCACTGAACACAACTACCACCTATCTAATGATGTGACAATAAAGAACATTGAACTTTGAAAGCACGTTATACAACGTAAAACATACAATTTTTAACTTTTATGGTAATTGGGCTATAGACAGAAAAGGCTGTGGTCATGTCTTTTCTGAGGACAGCAAATGAAAAACACATTCCTTTGGGTACAAAAGGAGCAAAATAGCGTGCGCTCAGCAAGCACGAACTTGAGAGGAAGCAGAGTTAAAACATGGACACAGAAAAAAGAGAAAGGGAAATTGTGTGGGTAGATTTGCTGAGTCATATCCCGTGAAATCTGAGGCTCAGGACAGAAACTGCAAAGCTAAGCCTCCGGTTAAATGGCTATAGTGAGTAAGAGTAACACAGACAGACATTCCAGAGGAATTATTTTGGCAGGGTGGAAGGGGGGTTAAAGGTTGAGGCAGAAATGGCTTTGATGGTTGGGTTGAGGAATTACAGGAGATGGTCCTTTTGATAGTCTGAAAACTCAAATGTACACTTGAATTCTCATGCATAAAAAATGTTCATGTTCCATAGCTTTCCTGACCGCACCATCTTCCTCCTGCACACAATATTTAGAGACTTGCAATAATATTTGCAATGCACAACATTGGGCACTATCCATAATAATAATAATATTGTAGGGTTAGTTCACCCAAAAATTAATATTCTGTCATTAATTACTCACCCTCAAGTCGTTCCAAACCTGTAAGACTTTTGTTCATCTTCGAAACACAAATGAAGATCTTTTTGATGAAATCTGAGAGCTTTCTGTCCCTCCATTGACAGCTACGCAACTACCACTTTGACGCTTCAAAAAGTTCATAAAGAGATCGTAAAACTAATCCATATGAATCGAGCGGTTTAGTCCAAATTTTCTGAAGAGACACGATCGCTTTATATGATGAACAGATTAAATTTAGGCTTTTATTCACATATAAGTTCACAAGCATGTTCGCTTGACGTGCGAGAACCAATGAGATTCATTCTCGTGTTACGCAGCACGTTTGAGGTTTGTTCTCGAGTGTCAAGCAGGTTCGCTTGAGCTTCTGTTTATGTTTGCTGATCTGTTTATATGTGAATAAAAGCCTACTTAAATCTGTTCATCATATAAAGCGATTGAGTCTCTTTAGAAATTTTGGACTAAACCGCTCGATTTATATGGATCTGTTTTATTATCTCTTTATGAACTTTTTGAAGCGTCAAAGTGGTAGTTGCGTAGCTGTCAATGGAGGGACAGAAAGCTCTCAGATTTCATCAAAAATGTCTTAATTTGTGTTCCGAAGATGAACGAAAGTCTTACAGATTTGGAACGACATGAGGGTGATATTATATTCATTTTGGGGTGAACTAACTCTAAAATAGTTTATGACAATTTATGACTAAAAAACAGCCAAGTTATGTGAATAACGGCATGACTATGTGCAAAATGAACTGCATAAACCTAAAAAGAGAGAAAGAAATAGAACAGTCTGAATCTACATAGCGAAAAATTATATTTATAAGTTGGAAATAATTGTCATGTTTTACAATAAAATGTTTCAGTTTTTCTGATGTGTAATTTAATGTTACCTGCCGTTTCTGCTGGTGAAATGTTAGCAATTTCTGAGAGAAAATTGTTTCTACACCAAGTTTTTTTTCAGTGTACACACTAAAACTCAATAATCTGCATTGCAGATGAAACAAGGAATTGAACAACCTCTAATCCAAAGCATCCAGGTTCTCTGATTTGCTTAACGTTATATAACATCAACATTCAATTGAGTTCATCTTCCGACTTGAGACTGGTCAAGAGGCTGCATGCACAAGCTTAACAAAGTAGCCTTAAGGTCATTTCTGTCCATGATCTAGTAGTCCACAGTCTGCAGGATCCCATGAATGTAAATGCAAAACAACAATCAGTTAAAACAATCGCCTGTTTGAACCAGTCGTTACAACTACGAGTTTCTGTGATGCTAACCTGATGAGATTGACAGATTCGGCTGAGGAGTCCAGAATGACGTAGACGGTCTGAGGACGCTCGTGCTGCGCCTGTTGCCCAGGTAACGCCACTTCCACTCGGCCCTTCTCGGGTCTGACGGAAGGCAGGCTGGACATTTTCTCCAGAAGCGCAATAGCGTTTACAAACAGCAAAATAAACGAGCAAGAGTAACTGAGGAGCTACTGATAATGATAATCGCCGGAGCTCAAGTTAACAAACTAACGTTATATAAAACCAGTTGTTTTCTGAAGTCTGAAAGAGGTTAAAATAGAGGACTGTCGCACTGTCCGATCGCTAGCGAGATGTTTACTGCACAAATTTCCCTCAAATTTTAACTTTCCTCCGTATCGATGCCTTCTTTATCTGTGTAGACTAGAGCTTGATGAAAACTAAATGCGTCTTGACGGCCAAAGTCCTTAGTTGCTCTTTGAGAGTCTGACTGCAGTGCACGCCGTTATCTTGCTCTCTTCTCCGCGAGTAAATCTGACTGGAAAACCCCACAATGACGCTCCATGATCAGCCGAGGGTTGACAGACAGACGAGCGGGCCAATAGCTGTGGAGCAGGGCGGGACTTCACTGACATTAGCCAATAGTCGAACGATAGAATACTTGTTTACTTCACAAGTTAGGTCATCCTTTGATATAACATTACAAACTATTTCGTCATCCTTTAGATTTAGATATTTATAAACTTCTGTGTCCCTTTGTGATGTTAAAATGAAAAGAATACTAATTTTAAACTAATGTTGACGATTAAATTAATAAGTTGTGATTTCATCGAGCACATAGTATAGAATCTTATTCGCATAAATAGGCTACATTTATCAAGCCTAAATGAAATAATGCATAGGTATGCAGGTATGTTTTTGACACATTCCTCTTATAGGGTACACTTTTTGAAACCATTAGAGCCACAAATCATGTGTTTTTGTGAGACTTGATGGATATGTCTAATCATATAGCTAGTTTAAAGCACAAATGTCTCTTCTCTTTAAAATGTTAATTGTTGGCCTGTTCCTCGATCCTCAGATGTTTTAACCTTTTCTTCTATGGTTTGGATTCCACCCTATTGAAGGAAAGTGCCTTTTGAACACACCTACATCAAGTAAGATATTAAAATCTTCAAACTATAATCAAACACAGTATTTGGATAAAATAAATGAATGACATTTGTTCTTTTATTACTTTATTTCATAAACATTTTCTTGATCTTGCACAGATTTCATTGGGATATTAACATACAATGGTACCCAGTGGCCTGCCACTAATTTAATCAACAATAATAATAATAATAATAATAGTACTTGAAATAACAGCAATTCCCATATTATGTGTACAATAAACCAGGTTGCATGAGGGAACACAATAGCATGTATACTTGTGCCATATAGTGTGATGGTTTGGCTAATAGGCTTGCAAATAAAACATCAAAGCTCATAATGCAGCCATTTCTTGGTTTTCTGAGAGAGTGTTTCTGAGCAAAGTAACACGGTGTTTACTGTCCTTGAGAAGATCAGCTATATGGCTATCTGGCAATGTTTTACAAATCCCTCTCTGCTGATTTGTTGCAGACGTGCACAACATGAAGAGGCAGCAAAAAAAAAAAAAAAAAAAAAAAAAAAACTGTAACGGGGCAGGAGGCCCTCATTTCAATTCCTCGGGTTTGGCATGCTGTGATGATGCCAGACAGCAGAAGAGAAAGAATGTTAGATCATCACTAGGCAGGTAATCATTAACATCTATGAGCAAAACAATCATCCATGCCTCAACATTTCTCTCTTTACATGTCCATATAAAAGAAACCTGCTCGTCCAAAGGCTGGTTTACAATAAATAGGTTTTAAAAGTTTGGCGTGTAACAAAGTACTCCTCCTCATGGCAAAATGGAATTTGGTGCGATAGGACTACATTATAAAAATGAAGAAGATTAAAACACTCAAGTCAAAAATCCGGATGTAGTAACAGATTACATCATCATCATCAGACTGTGCTATTCATGGAGTCTTTTGGTATGCAGATTTGGGCATATATAATATATACAATGTAACGTTTAATTCTCTGTTCTGCACCACAGAGATGTAATGGTTTCTCCCAAATGATTCTTGCTCAGATTTTTCCACACAGAATAATCCTTCAAGTACCATGTGTTATTCCTCCATATTAAACACTAGAAACTCTGATTATATAGCCTGTTCATTCATGTTCACAAAATTCTTGATCTCATCATGTCATTTATTACAACACAAAGCTGTTCCCTTGATCAAACAATAAAATAGCACCTCTATTTCTGTATACGACACTTAATGTCAGATCAAAGACATGAGATTGTTCTGATAACTTTGCTTAAAAATGCACAACTGTTCAGATATCCTAAAATTAACTACAGTGTATTTCACCTCTATCTCTTTTGAAGAATGTATTAAAACAAATTTTGTGAGATTACAGAGAATTACATCTGTATTCTATATTATATCCCTTCAAAATACAGTTTACAAATAAAATTTGTGGACTGCGGAACAAAGAATAGAAATGACTTGAATTAAAAGATCAAAACTTTCTATAAGTGTGGGACTAAAACATACTTGGAGCACACAGAAAAAATAACTTATATTCTCCCAAATGTTAATGTATAGTGTTTTTCCTTTGCATTTTGGTAGTGTTAATCTTTTGGTTCATCGCAAAGTTATACGACCCTCACTACAATTACCTCAAGGAGTAAAAAAGACAATAAATATTGGTATAAAAAAAATAAAAGTATAAAAAAAAACATAAAAATGTGACCCCAAAAAAAAGACATTTCAATATCTAATAGACATTTTCTGCAGTATACTTTGGCAAAAAGCAATTGTGAAAAACAATGTGTAGATAAGCACAGGGTTGCAAAATATCAGTAAGGCAGGATATCAAGAACAATAATACTGAGAGAAGCAGGATGTGTGTGTGTGTGTGTGTAAGCGTGAGTGACGGGCAGGCTCAACTGAGGATCTGGGAAATGACCAGTACAAGTCGTAAACATATGGAAGTTAACACACGCAGCCCTGTCCCAAAGCCATCAGTGCTCCCAAACCATGCACTGGCATCAACAGTCCTTTCTTGCACCTCGAGGAAGGAGACAGCAGACAGCCTGGTGGACTGGGGAAACACACCGACTGGTTCACCTTTACTTTTAATCGAGCAATGTCTTTGACAACAAAGAGCAAGATTAAAGCAATATCAAACACAAAGAGTTAAAGCAGTTCTCAATGAGTCATCAGGCGTTCACATTGGCAAATACATTTTGGAAACTGGATTCAAAAGAGGAAAAGAAAATGAAGCTCTTTCTAAAACACTGAATATCTACCTCTGGAATAAGTGGTAAAATGAGAGAACTTATCTTACGCTTTTCTTGACCTGGAATTTACCACAATGCTCAGAAGTCCATTTAAAACTGCACATAACGAAGATCAAACACCAAAAGCTCGTCGACAATACCTAACCCACAAAACTGGGCCCAGAGGAATAAGTTATATTTACAAATGAATCTTTTGCACTTTTCATACACAAATACAACACGGTTGAAAACTGTTGATATCCTCATCAAAACTTTTACCTTGTATTATTTATATATATATATTCTATATTTATCAAAAGCCCCTCTAAATAAGGCAGGGATATCATTGAGTTTTCAATGATAAAAACTAGCCCGATTCATACATACCCTCATGACCTACAATCTTATCAAATCTCACAACAACTCCGCATTCATAAAATCACTCATGCACACACAGGATAAATCTCTGTTATCCTGTAGGGAGAGCCCTGTCAATTCCTTTTTACACACGTTTTCCTTCTCAGACACTGCAAAAGAGACATGTCCAGGTTGCATTTCACCCCCAAAATAAATCAATTTTATTTTGTTTAAAAGAAAAACTTGCTTATTTTTAGGACCATTAAGACTGTGACATTATTTTCATTATAATTACCGTTATTCTCAATGATTCTCATTACTGTAACTTTAATTCAAATCAGCATAAATGACAGACAGTACAACATATAAATAATTTACTATTTAAATATATAATTTATTTTATTTTACATTAGAGTAATGTAACAATGCAACAAAAATCTGAATGGTCTTTAAAACAAGCTTCATTTACTTTATGCAAAATAAAATTTCTTTTGAATTTGGGCTGACATGTTCTTGACCGGTTTCCTGACATTCACTCCCAGAGCGTTATGATGAGCGCCCACTAGGTGGCAGAGTAAATTTGGTGGTGTTCTCTGAGCTGAAGGACCATGGAGTCAACAGGAAGCACATATTTCTGTTGTTTTTGAGTGGTTAGAACCTGCTTAGTAAATATTCCTGCTGTGTTCCAGCAATTCAGTTCCTGATCACCACACTACGTTTCTGAGATAAACACAGGCTTGCATAGCTAAACCACATTTCATGTGTCCAATCCTGTCACAATCCACTGCTAACTGCAATAGCCAATGTTTAATATGTAATCGAAATCTGAAATCCAGGATTTGATCCTCTTACCAAGCAGATTATTGCCATAAATATTGGCCGGATTCATAGTTGCTTTGCTTATTTAAAATCAACAAAATCACTCATTCCATCCTGCTTCTGGTTATGTAAACTGGGGGTATTTTACTGTAGACTCTCTGTCACCTAAACTTTTCACAAAACCAGGCCAAACATTCATGCCACCTCGCCATACTGACAACTGTCTCACTTCGCTATACCAAGTGTGATCCATATCGAGTTGGGGTGTGTTCACACTTGTAGTTCGGTTCTCTTGGTTTTAATGGTCCGGACCAAAAGGAAAATGACACATTTAGACTTGGATCTCTAAGCATTCACCCTGTCATTTTTAACAATGAACCTAAAGATTCAAAAAAAGGCTTTTATGATGTATATTTTGAGTCAGAACTTACTGAACATCCAAAACAATGCTGTGTGTAAGACTAAATGGCTCATTGTATGTATGATTGGTATTTTTACCAGCTGAGAACTCACAAAGGGTTTATAAAATGTATAAAGGAGTCAAAACAGCACCAGGAATTCTTCCGTTACACTCTCTCACGTTTCCGACGCCTGTACCAAACTGTAATGGGCATCATAGCATCTTAGACGAGGAAAAAAGTCAGTTTTAGGGTCACATCTCGTGACATCATGTCCTGTTTTTGG